TACCTCTCTACCAACATGTCCATTTAAATCTCCTCCAATAAAAACTCTTTCTTCAAGAGGTATATTTTGTATTAATTCTTCTAAGTCATTCCAAAAATTTAATTTAGAACTCATATCCAAACCTACTTGAGGAGCATAAGCACTTATAATATTAACAATCTTATCATCAACAACAATCTTTAAAGCTATAATTCTATCTCCAATCCTATTAATTTTTATAACATTATCCTTTAAACTCTTATCTATAATAACACCTACACCATTTCTAGTACGACTCTTACCCGAATACCAAAGTTTAAATCCTAAACTATCAATTTCCTTAGCCTTCTCTCCAACCCATTTAGTTTCCTGAATGCACAAAATATTTATCTTCCTGTGAATCATAATATCTATTAATTTCATTAATTCATATCCTAATTTTAGTTTCATGGACTAGCTTCTTTGCCCATATTCGTCCTTGATGTGGGAACCCTTGCCTATTTAACACTGCACCCGGGCGCCGGTGCAGCGGCCCTTGCACACTTGTCACTGTATTCAGGCCATACAGCGCGTCGCTTCCAGGGGACGCCCTAGCATTAACACAATTTCTTAAGGGATTAATGTCATTATTGTTCGATAAGTTTTACGCTGGCTGTCGACTACCTAACGCAACCCTCCACTTTTCTCATCCAGGACTTGGGACCTGGCAACGGCAGTGTTAAATAAGACAAATGATAAATAAGATAAATAATAGATAAGATATATGATGGATAAGACATGTGATAATGAGATATATGATAGATAAGATCGATGATAAACGAGACTGATGACTTATGAGTGATGTTAAATAAGACAAATGATAAATAAGATAAATAATAGATAAGATATATGATGGATAAGACATGTGATAATGAGATATATGATAGATAAGATCGATGATAAACGAGACTGATGACTTATGAGTGATGAAATTGATGATATATAATGTTGATGAAATATAAGATTAACGATTAATGAGATTGATGATTGACGATCAATGAGATCAATTCCTATTGGGTTAGCCCCATGATTGATAGATACATGATACAATATACATGATATATAAGATACAAGATACATGATATGAGACAAATGATATACAAAAATATAATATACAATATGCACGATATATAAGACACAAAATACATAATATACAAGATATGCAAGGTACAAGATATAATATAATGAGATTGATTGATTGATGTGATTGATCAATGAGCTTGAATGATCGATAGAATTATAATAGAAATAAGATTGATCTTGTACTGATATGATACACAGTGTAATACTCATGACATGATATATGATTGATTTATTTGATATACATAATCAGTATTTTTTATGAATATGATTTATTGTGTATTTTTTTATTTTGTTCATTAATTTAAGTTGTGACTATTATTGACTTGTTGGATTTTTATACTCATTATATAATTTTTATATATTTTCAGGTAAGAATAATTAGTGATTTGTGGAGTGAGATTGATCTGGGCAACATAATTAAGTTTCCTATCTGTTTTTGTTAGTTTTGCATTGTTGTAGTCATGATATATTTATTTTAGTAATGAGTTATTTGAATATCATGACCATTGTATATGCTATTTTGGATTTTGGATCATTGCATAAATATTCCAAGAATAGTAATGTTTATATTTTCTACTGTTTATATTATTTGAAATGAGATTAGTAAGCTATAATTGTTGATTAAGAAGAAAAATATATAATTCTTTTTAATTTAGATCCTGAGGCATTACATCTTGACAAAAAAGATAGTTGAAAGACACTACAATGATAATGTTGTTCTCTCGTCTTCAAGATGTTCAACTTGAACTAATAAAGTTAGTTGTTGATCCAAATGCCAATGATGGTTTTGTTTCTAATAACTTCACTTATGTTTGTGGTGCTAAAGCATAATTACTCATTTTCTTGGCCATAGAGGTGATTATATCTGTAATAACCCTAAATTTTATTTATCTAAAATTCCAAAAAATGTTTTGTGGGAGCATTGCGGCTCTGGGATGGGTGGTTCCCTGGCTTTGAGCTCTCAGATTTTTAGGAAAATAATTGAGCACAGTAGCACCATGGTTCTAGACACTGCATTGCTAGGTCTATAAGTTTATTTTTTTAAGAAAATATCTAAACCCATCACTCAAACCACCCCCTCCAAATTTCTTTCATGCTTGACCAGGAGAGAGAGGAGAGAAGAGAAGATAGAGGAGGCAAGAGGGGAGAGAAAGCAAGGTTCGGGCGTATATTTTATATCTTTTCAATTGAGGAAAATATTCTGATCGTAGTAGGTAACCTTAACCTTACCTCTGTTTTCAATTATTTTGCATTTTGTCTATTTTTCTTCTCTTAAAGTTGATTAAAATATAATATCATTCATTTTAGTAATTTTTCACCATATAATTTTTATATGTAATAGATATCATCATAATGAGCATTTTGACTAGTATATATTAACGTTTCACCATGTGATTTCCTTTATGTGTTATAATAATTAAAATGAGTTGGAAAATATTGAATATAAAATGATCATGAGTCAATACATTGCTTTTGGATATGAAATACATGATCTGCATACATTTATTATTTATTTAGTTAAACATACATTTTTGACATACTACAAACATGTCGATGAGTATAATAATAGTTGCATTGAGCATATATGATATGCATTGTTATATTTTATATGATATGAAATGTGTATAAAATCAAGAAAGGCTAACTTGAAATGATTCGCTGATTTAGGTTGGCTAGAGACATGTTACCCTGTATGGAAGGAGAAATTATTACATGTGGAGTCCGGACAAGAGAACCATTCGGATTTGCTGAATATTTGCTGTGTATTTTTAAATACTCGATAAATATTCAATAAATACTCAATAAATGATAAAATACTTAGAATATACTCACATAATCCATGAGTATACTCAGCAAATACTCGATAAATACTCACAACTGAATATTTGATGAGAATTTGCTGAATATTTGCAAATACTCAGTAAATCCAGATGATTCTCTTGTATGAACTTTGCACATAATAATTTCTTGTATATGAGGATGGTTAGATGAGCTTTCCTTTAAATAAGACTTGTGATATAATTCTAAATGATATGAAAAAGGAGACAAAAATAAATTGATTGATATGATGTGATATACTAATGAGCAAAAAATGATTACTTTTTATATGAAAGCCACCCGACTTGTAATATATTATTTGAGACTAATTCCTGATAACATGACTAATATGATGAAGATTGATTCATATAGGGTAGGCTTACATAAATGGATATAGGAAAAATATAATAAGTAGTTATATCTGATCTTACTTGCATGTGTATATGATGTCATGAGCATACATGATAAATTGCATAAGTGATATGACATAATATGATATGCACATAATACAAGACATGATTGATTTAAACCCATGATATGAATGATAAGATTGATAGGACTGATAAAAAGGCATACGATACATACAAACTATATGATATACATGATATATTTCATTTACAAAAATATAATAAATGATATACTTGCCTTGACACTGTATAACATGCATATAACAAATATAAAACACTTATTTGATATGACATGTATACTAATGTATTGAAATTTTGTATATAAAACACTTATTTGTTTTGAGCATATCCTGAAATGCATTTCAGGAAGAAATTGTTATATGGTATTGAAAACCTTCTTACAAAATTATGGAACAGGCTTTCTCATTTGAAATTATATGAAATTTAGAGCTCCATTTATTTCGTCTTTTCTTAACTCATTTATTGAAAATTTTCATGGATGAATGTGCTTCAGATAATGAATAAGCAACTCATATTTCTGGATCTCCTATTCATTCAATCATGTGAAGCATTCACACATTTCTGTGATTCTTCAGGTATCAGTTTCGGATCTAGTGGGAAAGAACATCGTCTTTTACTTCTCTGCGCATTGGTGCCCCCCTTGTCGTGCCTTTCTTCTCCATCTCATTGAAGTGTACAACAAAATCAAAGAAAAAGATGATGCTTTGGAGATCATCTTCATCTCAAGCGATGAGGATGAGGAGTCTTTCGAGGATTATATGGGAACATGAATGGAAACAAGATAAAAGATGATGATGACGATATTGTGAATGTTGAGGATGGACATGAATCTCTTCCTAGAGATTTTAAACAAGAATTACAATTAGGAGATGTTACTGATGGTGTTGAGGAGAAGGAAGAGAAGGAAAGTAAGATAGAAAATGGTGATGGGAATAAAAATGTTGTTGAGGACAAGGAGAACGAAAGAGAAGAACATCATAATGAGACAGATGCGGAGGAGGATGATGAAGATGGTCCTAGCATGGAGAGATTATTCTATGCGGACACCGGGCACAGCTTACCATCCAGAGGTCAATAAGGTGCAATCACGTCAGTCAGTACTGAGCAATACCAAGCTCATCACCGAGCTGCGGAACCAAGTAGGGGTGACGTGGCGCATTTTCATTGGGCTCTTGACGGCGTTCGACATTCGCACATAATAATTCATCCCTTGGGCATGAGAGGGTATGTTTGTAAAATTGTAATACAAGAGATAGAAAGGGCTCCAACTCATTTCAAGAATCTCTCTTTACTTGTAAGTTATATAAATAGTTGGTTTCTGCGGTCGATGTAAAATTATAAATGGTCTGATGTTTTCTGTGTTATGTTTTCGACTAGCAGTAGCTGTAAGTCTTCCTATTTGTGATGTATGTATTCCTAGCTGTTGATTGATTTTAACTTATTTCTGCAGTATTGGGTCTTCAAAAAGTAGGTGAGAATATCATTTAATCATGTGACATGCCATTGCCATTGATTAGATAAGCACAGCACTTATGGTCTACTTTTTCTCATATTCAATGGTTCCATTTATGATTTTGATGATGATATTTTTCTCCTATGTTGTACAGGCCATTGTCTTTTTTTAATCATATTATCTGTAATTCTATGCTTTGCAGTTGAGATTTGAGATTTCTATGATTGCTTCAATTTTTAAAATGAAGTTGGTACAATTGGGGTAGTACCATGCTAACTGAATGATTTGAGGACAATAATGAAAAATTAAGTTTGTTGATCAGTCGAAGTAAGTGATAATTATCAAGCTTGATTTGTGAAACCCCTCAAGTAAAAGAAATTAAACTCTTATACATCGAGACGTCTTTTGGTGTAATGGTTGGAGTTTTATTACGAAACTCTGCAGTTAAGCGTACTCATCCTGGAACAATTCTGGGATGGGTGAACTACTGGAAAGTTACAGCAATATGACAAAACCGTAAGGCTCTTACGCCAAAGCTGACAATATCTCGAAAGTTAAGAGTTTGTACTGTTACATGATTCTTGATTGTTCAACTGCAATTTTACTTGAGCATGATTACCATGTTTGATTCTTGATATATATATAATTCTTGATGAGAAGAGGCGAGATGATACTGACATGAAAGCATATTTATTCTAGGGGTGTAATTGAGTCAAAGTGAGTTAGTTTAGAGTTAACTCGACAAAGACTTGTGAGTTGAGTTCGATGAACTAAGAAGTCTAAGTTTTAGTTTATGCTGACTTGACTAGTCAACTCGTGCGATAGCTCATTTAAAAAATCTAGTATAAAATACACTCAAGCTATTCAAATATTTAATAGGTTTGTTATAAATTTAATTAAAAATATTTAAAAATTATATTTCTTTTCTTTATTTTAAGTGAATTCTTATCATTTTTCATTATATTTTTATTCTTTTTATTATGTTTTTATAATAATTGCTTGAATTAGAATTATTTTCTTTATTTTATAGTAAATGTGCTGATTCGTGAGCTGACTTAAATTGTAGAATTAAGTTTAAACATGAACTTAAACTCAATCACTTAATCAAGCTCAAGTCGAAGGTGATTCAAATTCGGCTTGACTCAGAGTAGTTCACACCCCTAATTTATTCAATTGAGATTACGAAAATAAAAAAAAAAATTTTTTTTTGACACTTATTTAGGCAGATCTTTGATGTAAACATTAAGATACATTTGAGATTTCCCGTTCAACTGTCTATAAATATAATTATATAATTATAATGATAAAAAATTAATTATTATAAAGAATTATTTTTGTTAAAAATTAAATATCAATTTTCATATGACTATCACACTCAAATAAATCTGATTATTAAAAACTCAGTTACATCACAAATAAAAGAAAAAAATTGTTGCTCAACAAAATATGATAATTCTCTGAAATAAAAAAAAAAAATAAAAAAAACTTCCCCAGACGAACTTTAAATCTCTAATACAATAACTGCAAGAAAGATGAACAGAAAATAATAATTAGTCACTATACTGATATTGAATTAAAATTCCTAATGTGAAAAAAAAAATCCAAAACTTACAGTCTGAGTCAGTTTTATCCCATTTAAATCTTCTTCCTTCCTTCTCTTCACTCTTCTCCTTGCCATCTACCTCCTCACTCAGTTTATTTTCCAAGTATTTCTTCACTGCCACTGCTGCAGAACTCTGTGGAAATATTTTCTTGTAGACTATAATTCTCAGTAGCTGCAAAGAAATGCAAAAAAACCAGAGAAAAAACATCAATTATTCAAATAGAAAATAATCTATCATCTTTTCCAATCAATCCAGCTACCTTCTCCATGCTGGAAACAATGATGGGATCTCTTAAGCTTGTCGCTGGAGCAAATCCACTCTTACAAACAAATATTTTCTTCAGAAGAAAACAGATAGATTTCTGCTTGATTGTGCTGCGGTTTTGTGCTAACAAGTCTCGAGCTTTCCTTAGAATGATCATGCTATTAGGCGAGAGATCGCCATTATCTCCTCCTTCCTCTATTTCTTCAAGCTGGTGAAGATTTGATGGACAGTTTAAGAGCTTAATTAGAGGAAGATTGGCCTTCTCCTTGCTTGTTTCTGAGCCATTATTGCAGGATTTCGATTTGCTTTTAAGAAGTTTGGTAAGTTCTTTCTGTAGTTTCATCACTTCATCAATTGTGAAGTCTGATATGTCATTTGTTGAATGCGAGCTTTGTGTGGGATGAGAATGGATTTGTTCTTCCTCTCTCAGAAAAGAGCTTCTTAACGTACCTATCGCAAGCAATCCGTGTGACCAGTCAATGTATTCATCATTGTGAGCCTCTGGTTCTGGAGGATCTGTAAATAAATTAAAATAGGAAAATTTTCCTTTAGCTCACTAAAAAGGATAGACTATGTAAAATAAGGGAAAAGTGAATCTTAGGTCTTGTTTGGGATGACTTTCTTACTGCTTCTTAAAATAATTTTTTAATATAAACATTAAAATTTTTGTACTAGAAAGTTATTTAAGAAGCAGCAAAAAAGTCGTCCCAAACGAAGCCTTAGATAGACTTTCAGCTTTCAAAGAGGCAAAGTTTGGACTTAATTACATTGGTGACCCACCATTTTACAAAAGTAGTAATGGATGATGGACTCTATTAGAAAATAGTGAAAGTATATAAATAAACTCAGTGTAAATAGTTATTTGGTAAGTGAGTTAGTTGACGACTAAGCGGTTGAATTTTAGATTGAGAGTGAATATCTTTGATAACATTGCCGTTATTAGGTCTCAAGTTCTTGATGAGAAAAGTGTAGGGTTGTGTTAGGCAGTCGTTAGCCGGCGTAAAATTTGTCGAATAATCGTGACATGAATCCTTTAAATAGAAAAAAAGATTAATGTAGCCGATCCCACGTATTGGGGCAAAGGCTTAACGTTGTTGTTGTTGTTGTTTTAGTGAATATCTTTGATGAATTCTATTCCCAAGCACATTTAATCATCAAGTAATTATGTTCTACAAGTGAATACTTTTATGAGTTGCCGACTTCGTAAGCCCCTTAGATGAGTTTTATACATTGGAACTAAGGGCCGAGTTGAATTCATGTACCTGGTGGTCAACTTGGTGAGATATAACTCTAGGCAAATATTTGTTTTGGGCAACTTAGTCTTTGTTTGGGATAGTTTTTTGCCCCTAAAAAGCTGCTTTATAAAGCAGTAAGAAAGTCGTCTCCAATGAGACCTTGAAGGTTTGGCAAGTTACAATTTGTTGGTAACTTAGGCTTTGTTTGGGATGGCTTTCTTTCTGCTTCTTAAAGCAACTTTCTAATATAAAAATTTAATTTATGTACTAGAAAGCTGCTTTGTGAAGCAGTAAGAAAGTGGTCCCAAACGAAACCTTATGCCTTGTTTGGGATGGCTTTCTTCCTGCTTCTTAAAACAACTTTTTAGTATAAAAATTAAATTTTTTGGGCTAAAATGTTGTTTTAAAAAGCAACAAGAAAGCCGCCCTAAATGAAGGCTTAAACTGATTCAAAATCAATGACTTGTTGAACTCGATTCAGTATCTTACGAAGATTTGTTCAATCTCATTTTAATACATCTAAGTATAAAAAACCACATTATTAAAAAAAATTAACAAGGAAAATTGATCTACAATAAAGATAATTACTGTTCAAGAATCTAGGCCCACCCTCTATTATTATTGCCTTAATTGATTATCACAAATAATTGCGTTATAAAACTCCCAACTTGTATGCTTCAAAGCAGAGCTATTCAAAACACGTTTGTGACTGTACTTTAGAAGCTTTCAGAAGCTTAAAGAGCTCCTTTATTATATCTCCTTGCTTTTCCCGATATTGTGATCTTCAAGAACTTAGTGCAGTTTTTTAATCACTTTTTGAATTTGTGTAAAATGTTTTCAGAATATTTTTATTTTCATGCAACTTTCATATAGTTCTAACATAAAACTCTAATAATTATGTCATAAATTATCTAACAGTTATATAAATAATAAAAACTTTGTTCTGAAATTCCAGTAGAAATTATTTGACCACTCTTATTTTAAGTCTTAGGCTTCGTTACGAAGCTTTTTAGTATAAAAAATTTCAGTTACAAAATTTTTGTACTAAAAAAATGATTTAAGAAACAGTAAGAAAGCTATCCCAAGTGAAGTCTTAGGCCTCGTTTGGGGCGGCTTTCTTAATGTTTCTTAAAACAACTTTCTAGCTTTAAGAAGCAGTAAGAAAACCGTCCCAAACGAGTCTAGAAAGTTGTTTTAAGAAGCAGTAAGAAAGCTACCCCAAACGAAACCTTAATTTTGCATTAATACTCAAAATTCTTTAAACTAATTTGACAAGACAAATACAGATAATTTGTTTCAACAAAATAAGAAAAATCTGTCAGATTTTTCTTTTTTTTATCCAAAAAAGGAAAGCATCAATGTTCAAATCAAAATCATCAGCCACCAAACACAAAAAAAAAAAGAAAAAAAATGCAGAATTGATGTTCTTAATCAAATCCTGCAGATTCCCTTCGCACTAATTATCTCTCCCCACAAACACAAAATGGTGTTAAGAAAGGAAAATGAAGAAAAAAAAAATGCTGCAACTGAATTGTCATGAAAAATATGAAAGAAAACATTAGACTAAATGAAATCTCTCATGAATCTTTCCATGAAATTCAGTTAGGAAAAACACTTACAGAGAGAAGAGAAGTCGCCCTCTTCGAATCTCTTCTTCTCAAGCTTTCCATTAAGCCTTTTTTGAACCCAATTCAAGATCTGCAAACCCAACACAGAGAAACAGAGCTAAGTAGAAGATCAATTTCTAGTTGTTCTACTTCTCAAAGCATATAGTAACATAGAAATTCAGCTATAATCCAAAATTTATCACACGTGAACTGCACTATCCAAACTCTTACTTTCATTTTCCAATTGTCAGAGAGAGGAAGAGAGAGAGACAAAGAGAGGAAGAGAGAGAGAGAGAGAGAGATTAGGAGGTGTTGTGTTGTGAAGCCTAATTATTTTATTCTAAGAAGAAACCACATTACTTAGATTTAATCACGGATTATTTTAGGAATTTGATTAAGGGTCTTTTACAAAGTTTATATTATTTTTTATTGTACTATTGATGTTTAACTCATGAGCATCGATGTTGATATCATAATTCTGATATGATATGTGATATTGTGGAAGTTGGCTTAAATTTTTTCTTATTTTTATATTGGTAGTTGAATAAAAAAGAGCTGACAATGATAGATGGCTGAGGTGAATGATCATTAAGTATTTGATTTAGGCTTCGTTTGGGGTGACTTTTTATTGCTTTTTAAAACAAATTTTTAATACAAAAATTTTAATTTTTTAACTAAAACTATGTTTTAAAAAACAATAAAAAAGTCGTCCGAAATGGAGCCTTAATCAAAGCACATTGGAGCTTTCTTTCAAGAATTTCCGGGCCCTCTCTCAATTTGTGAATATATAAGGATCATTTATGGCTTGGAAGTTTAGTTTTATATTTTGATTGATTAAGGCCTTTGGCTAGGATATCGGCGGTCCGAAGTTTTGTTGGATTGTGCTATACTTAAATAGTCTCTTAAACTAAATTTTGTTCTACAAAATGTCTATCAATTTCAATATGTTTTGTTATATCATTGTATCCATCTTTTGACAAAAAATCTATTGAAAATTCACCATAAACATATACCAAAGGAAAAAAAATCATCTCCTGTCAATTATTCTGCAATATTACTTAAAACTAGTAGAAAATACTTAAAAAATTTCAATTAGCCTAATATTTCAACATTGTCATAGAAATATTAATCAAATATTAATTACATTATCCTCAAACTGTTCTCAAACACTACAATAGTTCTAAAAGTACCAAATAGTTCTATAATAATCTTACAATTCTTAAACATTAAAAAAAATAAAATATTTACAACCACATACACTCTACTCTGAATATGTATCCTCACTCTTATCTAGTGATGCATGCTATTTTTTACTGAATTGCTCCCTGATTCCCTAAAACTCCTCTAGTATCTAACTTTACTACATTTCCATGCCAGCTTATGATTTTTGAACTTACTCTAGCTCAGCTGTCAAGGCTGCCACCTATTGGCTAACCGACCCCTCTTAACTGCCAGTTAAGAAGCTTGAAGAACCAGAGGATTGTCCTATGAATGCTTTGGCCTATGAGCCTAATTCATAAACTCTCCCATTCTACATTCCTTTTACTATCTATGACCATATGCGGTAGTCAAAATAATATGTTGATCCCACAAATAATCCCTCACTAACTGCAGTTAGGCTCTCTCAAAGCTGCATATACTCCTTTTAGAAAAGATACATCAGAATAATCATTATATATGTGTCACTAAAAATATTTCTATTAATATTCAAAACTTAGAGACTCACAAAGGCCCTCCTCACCTTCTTGCTCACTTGTCTACCCACTGTTGATTCTCCTGATGTTGGTGGGTGCAAATGTGCAACTTAACAGTAGTGGATTCTCTATCAAATTCATGAAAAAAAATGGGAAAAGGGAATGTTAATAAGATCGGTCAATTATGAATGGGTGAGTTCATTTTATGTAATTTTCTACATTCAAACTTATTTTACAGAAATTTTAGAGCTTCTAACTCCATAACATTTTCTTTCTCCCTCTAGTTAGGTTTTGTTTGGGACAACTTTAGACCAATATTTTTTCTTTGCTTTCAGGAGATTTTGATACTAAAAAATAGTTTTATAAAGCACTAAAATAGCCATCCCAAACGAAGCCAGCATACTTATTCATCTTGACCCAAATCTATAAATATGATTTTTTACAGTTTCTCTCTCTAAGTTCAACTTCGCTCCCATTGCTTTTCACACATATAATAATAAAATTATTTAATTTAGTCAATTTTTGCATTATAAAATTTATTTAAAAAAAAATTAGCATTAAAAATTATAGAAAAATATCAATAAAATAACACATTTTATTTAATTTTTTTTTGTAAAATCGGTTTGCAAAACTTACACCTTATGGTTCTAAAATTTTCACTTGTAGAGACATGTGTCAATTTCTTAAGGATTTTCGCTAATACTAAAAATTACGGAAAAATTTAGTGCAATTAAAACACACTAATCTCTATCTTATGACTACGACGATTTTCAAAATTAACTAATGACTCTTTAAAAATTTATTTTCTTGGGTCAAAATATGGACTACTATAATCGCAATGCGAGCAAATGGGGGAATGGCGAACGACAATAATCTCGATCGAGGTGGAGGAATCACAATGTGAATGGAGTGTTAATGAAAATGTTGGAGATGGAGGAGCATGTTGTGGCGTTTGTTTCCCATGAGAATATAGTGAAATAGCTTTTTTGCATGAAATAGCTGAAGAAGAGATGAAACAGTAGAAACAGGGCCTTTACCATTGGATTTCCGACAACGATTTCTGGCAGAAATACCACTACCATACTTAAAACCGGTGAAAGTTCTGTTGGAAATGACTTTAAGGAAGCCGTCATAAAATCTGCTGGTATTTCCATCCATGTTTGCGACGATTGATTTTCCTCCAAAAAAATCCATCGAAAATAGCAATATTTTCCTATAGTGTAAGCAACTAAAATGATCTAAATTCAACTCAAATGTAGGGTTATCAATCTTTGACCTGACACTAGGGGTGCAACCGAGTCAAGCCGGCTCGGGCTCGACTCGTTAATGGGCCTCGACGAGCGAGCTTATACGATGCTAAGCGAGTCGAGCTCGAACACAGTTCGAGCTCGCGCTAAACGAGCTTCGAGCATCGACACTGGGCTGATCGACTCGTTGGGCGTCGTCGATGTAGCTTCGGGTCGTGTCTTACGGGAGGCCGGGAGCGGGTGCGAGGGAGTCCGATTGCGGGATCGGGCGCGAGCGCCAGCCGGCGGAGGCGGGAGCGGACGTGGGCTGCGCCAGCCGGAGCGGGCGAATGCGCAAGAATCGGGCGCGGGCGCGGGATTTTGTCGCGGGATGACGCGGGCTGCGTCGCGGGAGGCGGGAGCGGACGCGGGCTGCGCCATGCCCGAGCGGCCGCGTGCACGGGATCGGGTCGCGTGCGCATATTTAACGACGAAAAGCCTCGATAGGCTGAGCTTCAAAGCCGCTCGATTTGACGACGAGTTCGAGCTCCGAATTTTGAGCTCGACTCGAAGTTTCGAGCTCGAGCTGAGCTCGGGTTTTGATTGTCAGGCTTCGACTCGAACACCCCATGGCTTCGAGCTCGACTCGACTTCGTTTGCACCCCCTAGCTGTATCACGAAAAGCCCGACCACGAATCAAGTTCCCAAAAAATTCCGGGTTAGGGTAAACCCCGATCCCGAACGGTCGGGTTCGGGTTTCAATAAATCGACCCGTTTCAAAAATTGGGTCTGGTTTGGGTTGACCTAGAAACCCAAGATTGACCCTTTTTTGACCCGGAAACCCTAGATTGACTCGTTTTTAACAGAAAATTGGAGAGTGATTCCATTTTTTTACTCAAAAACTAGCAATTTTTTGTCGATCTTGATTATTCGGGTCGTGTCGAGTTGACCCGGACCTAAAGGGGGTCGGGTTTGGTGTCCAAAAAAATTGACATGTTAGCAAAAATAAATCTGATTTGAGTTGAACCGAATAGTGCCGGATCAGTTTTAGATTGGACCCGAACCCGACCTGTAACCCAAAATTGAAACCCTACTCAAAATGAGTGCCATCCTAATCAAATCCTCATTCAAAATAGAAGTAAGAAATCCATTGCATCGTACCTTCCCCTCATCACAATTAATTAATAAAACAGTCCAAACATTAAATAGATCACATCAATCATTCTTTAATAATATCTGTGCGGGAATACGGGATTTAATAAATATAAAATATTTTCATTCAAATAAAATATTTTCTCATTCATAAAATATATCCGGACAAATTAGTTGGAGTAGAGAAGGATTATCTCCTAAAAAGTTCAAAAGCAATCAAGTTTCCAATAACAAAGCTGTCACCGATGAGGTCGTAGAAGGCTGTGGAAACAGATGGGACAGCCACATAAAATGTTTAGTTTTTTTTTTTTTATTAATTTAAACAAAAAAAAGTTCTATTTTAGTGCTTTTATAATAATATCAATTAAGGATTTTACAAAAAAATATTTAAGAATAATAAAAAGTCATCTCGAACGAAAAAAGTTTTTTAGAATTCACAGTCCAGTACGTACAATTTTATTGTATTTAGAAATCGTTATATTTGACCAATTTTTAAATACAATATCATTGTCACTTGTCATTGCCACTTGACATCTCTGTAGGCTGTTGTGACCATTGTCATTACCAAACACTTATCGTTGGGTTGTACACTGTATTATTTTACTTCAAATCAATAAAATAATATAATTGCCTATTTTTTTATTTTATTTTAATTTCACAACTTGATATTATGAAAAGAATAAGTTGATGTGCCCAAATTGATTTGAATGTTTCTATCTCTATCTAATAACAACTTGATAACTATAGCATTTATAGCATACTATCTTAGCAACTTAAAAAAAATAGCACAATTTTTAGCAAAAATATTATTATAAAAAATTAATTATAAAGCATATATTTAAGTCATTTTTAGTTAAAAAAATCATAACATAATGTAATAAATAATGACAATTGAATACTTGATGTTATTTTTGAATTGATGTGTTCTAATTGACTTTAATGTTTTTTAGTCACTTTCTAAAAATAAATTTAGGTTTTATTTGGGTGGCTTTCTTACTGCTTCTTAAAACATATTTCTAGTAAAATATAAATTTTATTGTATTAAAACTGCTTTAAAAAAGCGGTAAGAAAGCTGTCCACAAACAAAGCCGTAAATAATAAGAAAAACTATTGATCAGCTATATATATAAATATGGCACTAATTTGTTTTTTTTTTTAAATCACTTTAAAAAGAATTGAAAAAAAAGGATCCCCAAATGAAACCTCAATAACCTACTTAATATATTTAAATCACTATCTTTATGAAAAATATATCTAAATAATTAGAAATATATATATATTATATATTGCACATAAAATCAGAATAAAAATTTTAAAATAAATATGAATAGTATAAATATATTAAACTATATTTATTATATTTATATAAAAATTAAGAAATTTATTAATAAATAATAAAATTGAATAATATATTGATCATCTTAATAAAAAGATTAAAATTTTATACATATTAATTATTTTTTTATAATTTGGTTGTAACAAAAGTTATTTGTTATAGAATTAATAGTGTGATAACATCAATCAAATGACATTTAAAATAATACTTCAAATTTCATTACAAATATTATTTTAGTCTCATGTGAATATACTAAGTTCAAAACACAATATATAAACCAAAAGAATATTTCTAATTACTTAAAAAAAATATCTCACATCAATAAACTTAAGAAAAATTTTACTCTTAACAAAATTATAAAAAGAAGCCTTAAATGTGAAATATAACTATACTACTAAGATACATATTATAAATCAACATTGATTAATTCAACATATGTGTTCATATACATTGCTCATTGATAATTTACATGAGTGATTAGAATAGTAACACAAAGCAAACTTATAAGCTTCAAGCATTGAAGATTTCTTCCAAGAGCAAGATGGGTACAAAAAACTTAACATTATTCTAGCTGCTGAAGAAGCTCCTATTCTTCGTAAATTTTAAAAAGATTCTTAACAGATACTTCGGCTTCGTTTGATATGGCTTTTTTTAATGATTCTTAAAACAATTTTTTTAATAAAAAAAATTTTAATTTTTGTACTACAAAGATGTTTTAAGAAGCAGGAAGAAAACCGTCCCAAACGAAGCCTTAGTTGACCTATGTAGTCCTGATATAGAATAATCTTACACGTTTGGCTTCACATTGAGCATGTTGCAGGCTTCACATTAAGGTTCTTGCCAACCTTCTTTCCCATAGTAGCATCACACTAAAACAAAATATTATTATTTAGCATAATAATTGTAATCAAGCCTAAACATATACTGCACTAAAAAACAAAGCTTTTAGGAATTTCATATATGGCTTAAGAAAGTCTTTATTGTTAGAAGAATGAATATATTGCTGGCTTATTCTGAATCTATGGCTTCTAAAGTTATTGTAGAATGACATCAAATCATATGTTGCACAAAAATATAAAGCTTAATTTCTATTATTTAAGAATTAGATAAAAAATAACAAAGCTGTAGTTTGATGGCTTAACTAAATTGTCATTACAAAATGATACAACCATAATACAAGCAATAAGAGCTTCATGCATGCATCCAATCATATCTAATCTCATTTTTTTGGCGCCTTGTTCACTCCTCCGCTCCTGGCTTAGGGTTTTCGGCCCTCTGTTCTGTTGGGTTCTCTCGGCGGCGGTTGCCGCCTTTTCGTGGCTGGCCTCAGGGAAGTCCTGCTCCCTTTGCCTTTACTTGTTTCTTTTTTGTTTTTTGTGTTTTGTTTCGTTTGGTTTTCGGCCCTCGCCAAGTTTTTCGCCGGATGGCTGGGAAACCCTTGGTCGATCTTGACTTTTAGGATGGATCGTTCAAAACTCGTTCCTTTCTAGATGCTCTTTCCGGCAGTTCTTCAAATGCAAGTTTTCCTAACCTTAAAACTTCTTCTTTTCCTGGTCTACCTTCTTCGTGGATCTCAGAGGAGGAGATTACTGCTCTGACTGCTCTCTTTCAATTTTTGTTAGTTGGTTTTTTCCTTCTAGGCAGCCTTCTCTCGATGATATTCGTAGGTTCTTCTTCAACCTTAAGCTTATTGGCGATGTTTCGATCACTTTGCTAGATATGTCACATGTTTTGATTAAGCTGATTAACAATCTTGATTACAGTAGAATTTTCTGCCATAGATCATATCTTATTAACAATTGCTATATGAAATTGACTAAATGGTCTCCTTTGTTTGATGTTGGTGTTGAGTCTCCGATAATCCCCATTTGGATCTCTTTCTCAAATCTTCACCCTCAGCTCTTTTCCCCCTATATCCTTCACATCCTGGGATCGGTTTTTGGTAAGCCGTTGAAGGTTGACAATGCTACGTCTGTTGGTTGTCTCCCTTCTATGGCTCGGGTGTTGGTTGAGCTGGACATTACAAAAACTTATCCTGATAAAGTGTGGTTAATTAGATCCCAAGAAATTTGGTTACATACAACAAGTGGGATCGATTTTTGGCTGGCTTGGATTTAGTTTTGGGGATGCATGGATTGTTTGGACTATGATGAGGCGCATTTCTGCACTAACCCAGTGTCATCTTGGTTGCTGGCAACCTTTGCGCTTCAATTCTAATTGGTAGTTATCTTATGATAGTGGGATGATGAAGTTTAGTGTGGTGCTACTTTGGGAGATTTGCTGATTCCAATGGATAGCCCTTCTTTGGCGGCTGGGTGGGTGCAGGATCTACTTTCCCGAGTCTGAATGGCTTCATTGTTCTTTCTTTTTTGGTGGCCTTCAATTTTTGCTCCTATTTTTTTGGAGTTCTCTTTCCAAGCATTGTACTTATTGCTTGTCTTATCTTGGGCCGTTGTAGTTTCCTTGGTTTGAATGAAATTTGGTTTTTTGTTAAAAAAAAAAATCCAATCATATCTGCAAAGCTTCCATGCTTCACTTATGCAAATCTGTAGATACAAAGCATGCCATTTACATAATATTTATTTCGAAACAATCAATAACATTATAAAATATGGCCTGAGACTAACTCATCTCCTCTCATGGTTGACCTGCTGTATCCAATATTGAAGCTCCTCAGCCACCTATAATGGAAACATGTAGCCTTTACAAGCTCCCTCCAAACTGCAGCTATTTTGTCTACTCTTGCTTCTAAATTTCTACTTACCTAATATGGGTTCCTGCTTACTGAAGAATGGCCTTATTGAATTAATATAACATAACATGGCAATTAACTAAAAAGTGCAAAAGCTGATGAATAGCTACTAATTTAATAAACAAAATGTCAAACAAGTAAATTATAGAGCTTAAATTTTTTCCCAGCTAAAAAAAAAAACACTACATAGATCTAGTAGCAGGCTATTTCATTAAGAGCTTCTAAAATTTTTTATCATATTTCTAATTGTATTAGGTTTTTCTTTATAAAGAGGAGACATCGTCGCCCTATATTTGAATCAGAGGACTCATGAATGTAATTCTCTACAGTTGAATCATAATGAAATTTGTGACCACAATAATAAGATGTAGTTATCAATTGGATTCAGATTTATGAAATTCTCATGCATTTGTGTGTTGATCTTATTTTGCGTCTTTTGTTATTCTTCACTCTTTGTGCTTGACTATCCATTGTAATTTAAACAAGAGAATTATAACAAAGCTTCATGAATATGATCAAATACAAATATTCACAAAATTGAATCGACAAGTTGTCAATCTGATGTAGCTTCAAGCATTAAGAGTGGTATAGGATGTCAATAATCCAATCAATTGAAGGTTGTGATGTCTGTATTTGAAAAGGTTAATTCAAAAGACACATATCCACCTACAGTATCATGCTTCTCTTAACGAAACTTTTTTTTTTTTGGTGCACCAAAGAATGTTCCTCTACACATTCTCAAGAAGACGAGCCAAAGAAAAGACGACCTAGTCTTGTTAAAAGTTTCATAAAAAATTCTCAAACAAGTGCAGAAAAGTATTTGTGATGGAGAGAAAAAAGGTTAAATTATTGGGTTCGGACACCGGACACAGCTTACCGTTTGGTACTTCACAGTAACGAGTAAAATTGAACTCGGTACTGCTCGGTACTGTGAAGTACTGAACTCATACAGAGCTCAATACCGAATACGGGGTGATGTGGCGCATTTCATTGAGCTCCGGACGTCATTCGGTGTCCGAACCCAATAATTTCCCGAACAAAAAGACACCTCAACCAGACAAAATTTTTTAACTGCTCAAAATTTTTCTTCTCAAGCATAGTAGCTACCTACTAAAGTGATAAGAATAACTAACTTAGATGTAAGCAATCAAACATAGGAGTGCAATGTTTGGTTTAAAGGAAAGTAGGGGAAAAGCAAAAGATTAATCATTTTTAAATGTGAATAATCATACATAAAAGGAAAATTTCTTATAAATTACTAATTAAAATACATTATATTTTATTTAATTTATTCATTTGCTAAAATTAGCACCTTTAAGCAATAAGTAATCACTAAGTTTGTTATAAAACGATATGCCTTATGAATCAATCTCTCCAAACTTGCATCTAATTTGCCAAAAAATCAAACAGCTAGAAAAATATGAAACTATATATGTCAATAGATATAGATATATCGAGAGAGGGAGAGAGAGAGAGAGCTACAACTTACTGGGTAAAACTCTTGACCATGGTATAGAGAACTTGTAGGAGTTCACTCAAAGAGAATGTACTAAAACGAGGTCATTCTATTGCAATCACTAAAAATTTAAGGGTTTATAATTAAATATAGTTTATAAGATAAGATATAAGAATTTCTTTGAGTAATATATATTAAAACTTTTCAAACCTTGTATCGATGATAATAGTCGCCAGATTAAACATTTTGTTTTAAATAAAGAAAACAATGCTTTTTTAAAACAAAATCATAAAAACATATTTGTCTTAACATTTGCTAACATTTTGAATGTCTAATCATATGAATATTGTCTATTAAGGATTTACACCTTAGTTTAATTATTAGCTGGTTTGCTTGAGCCTTTGCTATCATCCAAATATCCACCTTCAATATGGGAATATAATTAAAAAATAATGCTTCACAGTGAACAAAATCAAACCATTCATGTACTGAAAAAATAAAAAATCATTAGAATAATGGGAGAACTAAGGCATCCACTTCATGCCAATGTCTAGCTTAACAAATAAATAAAATTTAAAATTTTCATTTATTAAATTTATTTCGTAAAATATGATAATTTAATCAACTATTATATTGAAGACATGTATCGGGTAATAGAAGAGAAAAGCAGGTGTATAAAAGTATGTATTCATTTTTCATAATCGATATACAGAGGTGCTAGTACAGTATATATAATAGTAGAGGGTATTTAGATATGGTTTAGCGGTCCAGATGTGAAGGCTGAATGGTTCATATTGATTTGTGACAGATTGGTAGCTTTATGCTGCTCCACGTTTTTATTAGCTGCTCCACTTAGTTTGTACACTGTTCTTTGTATTAACATGCCCCCTCAAGCTGTAGCATCGGATGATGAAATCAGTTTGTTGGCAAGATACTAAAATCTGGGAATGGATACTTGTTTAGTGAATAAGTCTGTATGTTGATCTTTAGTTGAAATGTGGTGGACCATAATAGTTTTGGCTTTGATGCAGTCACTTATGAAGTGGCAGACAACTTCAATGTGTCTGGTACGCACCATATGAGTTCTTAGGCAGCGAGGCAATGGCGGATGTTTTATCGTAGAATAACAGAGTTGGAGAGGGAGGTATACAATCGAAATCATGGAGTAGATGTCTCAGCCATATGAGTTCTTAGGCAGCTGAGGCGAGCGCTCAATATTCAGCTTTGGTAGAGGATTGCACTACGGTGTTTTGTTTCTTCACACTCTAGGAGATTATTGAGTTTCCTAGGAAGTTGCGGTAGCCAGTGGTTGATTTTCGATTATGGGTGTCGCCTGCCCAGTTAAAATTATCATAGGAACGAAGGGAGAGAGAGGTCTTGAATAGAGGAAGATCGATGTGCACCGTGTCTTTCACTACAGAAAAATCGATCATCCATTTCCGACGGTTTTCGAATTTACCGGCGGAAAAAATTCCGCCGGTAAAACCTACGTAGGAAAATAAATTCCGACGGCTTTTTCCGGCAGAAAATAATCATGGCGGCTTTCCGATGGAATTAAACTGCCGGTAAAATTTTAAAAAATAATAATAATAAAAACTTCCGCGCCTGCGATAGCCCGCCCACGCAAACCCTGCTCCCGCCAACCCCGTCGCCCCCGCCCCGCCACCCACCGCGCCCCGCCTCCGCTCGCCACCCGCGCCCGCTCCCGCCACCTCGCGCATGGGAGCCTGCCCAGCCAGCCCACCCGGCGTAACCCGCAACGCGGCAAGCTAGCTAGCGCCCCTCCCGCGCCCATGTGCGCCGAACCCGCCAACCCATTGCACACCGGAACCCGCCAACCACTGTGCGCCCGAAACCGCTCTCCCCGCGCCGTGTGTGCGCCCACTCCCGCGCTGCCAGGTGATTCGAAACCCAAGTCGGTTGGAAAAATCCCAAACAACCAACCGAATTGCTAGACATGCAATATGTTTTTAATGTCAAATTTTATAGTTTAAACTATAATATTTACTCAAATCAAGATAGTGTTAATTATACTAACAATAATTAAATGATACTAAATTAATTTATTATAAAAATAAATAAGATAATTAATAATAAACATAAATAAAATTATATTACTAATTATTTTAAAATGAAAAATTAATAAATAGTTATTATTATTATAATCGTAAATTTTTAATGAAATTCATAATATAATTTCTCATTTTAATTAATATATCCGTTAAATATTTAATCATTTTAATTAAATTTTAAAATTCCACCAAAAATTGAAAGCCATCTTTGAATATTTCATCGAAAAATTTGTCTCATTATTTTAGGTCGGAAATGAGTGATTTTCCTGTAGTGTTTGATGTAGTGGAGGAGCTATTTGAGAGCTTAGAAATTGATGTTGAGTGAATTTTGCATATGTTGGCACAATTTATTCACAGCATATGAGATGTCGGGGCGGGTTAGCGTAAGATATTAAAAAGACCCTACCAGAGAAGTCAGGGGGAGTCCAAGTGGTGCTGGAGCTGCTTGACAAGTGTGGGGGTGGATATAGATTTGAATTATGCATTCCTGCCTTTGAGAGAATAGATTATGCGTACCTGCTTTGATTTAGATGGAGACTATATGTTATGGGAACTACCTGAATGCCAAGAAATTGAGAGATAGGACCCATGTTAAGCATGTTAAGCTTACGGTGTAGACTTTCTCAAAGATGCGTAATGGCTGTGGGATTGTTATCGATGAGTAGGATGTCGTCCACATAGATTATGAAGTACATGGAGATGTCAAATCTTTGTTGTAGAGGAGAAGGGAAGGATCTGATGCACTGAACGCAAAGCCCAATGTTTGGAGGTAATCGGAGAGAGTGGCAAACATCTGCCGTGGTGCCAGTTTGAGGCCGTAGAGGGCTTTCTTTAGCTTGTACACGTGGGGTGAGTCATATCTTGGAAGTTCGGTGGCTGCAACATGTAGACGGTATCAGATAGTTCACCGTGTAGGAATACATTAGAGACATCCAATTGATGAAGAGCAACTACAAGGACTCTAACAATATGAATCTTGGTGATGGGATTGAATGTTTCAGTGTAGTCGAGATCAAATTCTTGGTTGAAAGTTCAAAGAGGTTGTGTGACCTCAAAGAATCAGCTTGATGCTAACCAAAAGGGAGGTGAATTGGTAATTTAAAAATTTCTTTAACAGAAAGAAAATCTTTTTATAACTTCAGGTGAAAGCGAATTAATTTCACAATAAAAAAAATTAGAGTTTGTCAACCACATAGTAAATCACAGAAAATTAAAATTCAAAAAATAATAAGAACAAACACATTAGAATTTATAGTGGTTCAGTCCAACCTGACCTATGTCCACTTCCCGGAAACCTCTGTTCCAGTTATTGCACTAAAACTTTAGTGACTCTCCATTAGCCGCTACAGCAAGGCAGAGAAGCTTTTACAAAATCTTTTCCACCAACTCGGTGCGGCAGAGGACCTTACTCTTTTTCACTCTTCTGGTGAAGGCAGAGAACTTGAAATCCTTTTTCTCCCTCCTGGAGACTGCAGAGGACCATGAATCCTTTTTCTCCCTCCTGGTGAAGGCAGATAATCACGAATCCTTTCACAGGCAGAGAACCTTGAATCACTTTTACCTTCCCCACTGCGGCAGAGTAGCCGGATCCTCTGACACTAAAGAGATCTTCTTCTTCCAAAAACCTCCCTCAAGACAAACATTGACCATATTGTAGAGGATATACACAAATGGTTCAGCAGTCTAGATGTTAATGTTGAATGGTTCAAATAGATTTGCAACAAATTGGCAGCTTTATACTGCTCCACCTTTCTGTTAGTTGCTCCACTTAGGTTGTACACTATTCTTTGTATTAACATATATCACACCCATCTCAAATAAAATTTTAAGGATGAACAACACATCCTACTTAAATGCCTATCCTACATCATACTGGTGCCTTCTTAGATATTCATCACGTCTATGAGAACGACGACTCCTATTGCGACTTCTGATATGCCTTCGATGAGATCTCCCAAACAACGATCGTCTCAATTCCATGTCATAAGCAAGACCATGCATTTAAGACAAAGATGAGACAAGGCAAACTTACACAAAAGATAATTTCATCCATATACACGCTATTAATGTTCTTTAAATGCATGAAATTGCAGTAGCAACCCTATTACAAGTGTTGTGTTCATATTGCATACAAGTAGCCTCGTGGAAATTAGTAACAGGAAAGAAAAGATGTAGATCAAGTTGCATAATTATGTGAAATTGGATAAGCATAGAGACAGATTATAGGCAATATGTCTCTTGAGAAAAGAAAACCTGAAAAGGAAAATAAGTGAACTGCATTCCATCTTTTAGGAGCATGCTCTTCCTCTCTAAACTGACTATACTCTCTAAACTGACTGTACACATTACCCATTTGTCATTGCTTCAACTGTCAGATATTCAACCATATAAACAACACATACCTAAGAAAAAAACCATCCAATATCATGATTTAATTAGGATTCATTGCAGGAACTTACCAAGCCAGTTGCATCTGAAGTCATATTCACCAGCATAAACCAACAGCTTGATACCTTGGTCAGAGAAAATATTACCTCTTCTTATTTCTTCATCAAAACAGAGCAGGAATTAATGCTGCTTGGTAGCAGTATTTAAGCAAGAATTAACTTAAATCCTACCGAATAGTTAAAATTGCAAAATCTTCTTCACGAACCGACCGTCGAGCTCCCGTCGTGACTCCTAATCTGAGCCAAGGCTTCAAGGCAACCGGCGACCTCCCGTCGTGACTCCTGATTTGGCCGGGACAACGCCGTAGAAGAAGGCGAAGAAGTTTCTATAGCGACTCTTTCAAAACTTTTCTTCACGAAGAAGCCACCGGCGACCGCCCGAAACACAATAAATTCGAGAGCTTCCTCGCGAGTGCTGTAGAAACTAGAGAAGAGAAGGATTAGGGGAGTTTCATAAGGAAGCGGGGGAATGCGAACTGTTTCCGCCGGATTATTTTTTTATTTTTATTTTTACTTTTATTTTTCTGCCACTTCTCTGAGGACGCTTGGCTGTCCGGAAATTGGGGCTGATTTATCGGGCCACCCACATCATTGTACTCATAGCCCGTGCTTTGGAGCTTCTACTGAAGGGGGACGGCCCCCTAATCTCGTGAGCCATATTTCTATGGTGCCTATATGAAATATTGGATTGAGTTGCATGTGGTACAATTCTGAGAAAGCCTCTAATAAAATGTTTCAGAAAGAATTTTTTAAAAGTTACCCAGTTGTGAGTTGGCACCGTTTTGTCTAGCATAAGCATTATGCTATTCGTTTCTCTGCTTTTGGTGGGTTGGCTGTAAAAAACGGGTTAAAAACTGATTATCATTTACTAAAACGTGGCATCAATGTTAACCCGAATTTTTCCTTCTACTGGGATTTTAGAGATTCTCACACTCACCTCTTCTTTGAGTGTGAATTCTCTTTTGGGATTTTGAATTCTCTGATCTCTCAATCCCAAACTCTGCTACTTCGACCTAACCTTTTTCAGGTTTATGATTTCATTGAAGATATTGCTGATAATACTGAGAATCTGAACTTCTATTCCCTTCTTATCAACATTGCCATCTATTACATATGGCGAGCTCGTAATGACATGATTTTTGGCAATATCATTGAATTCCAAACCACTGTGGTCAGAAAAATAAAAAAGGCGGCGTTAGCAAAAGCTGGAGAAATGGAAGAACATACACAATCTTTTACACCTTTTAGATTAAATGGGACTTTTTGGTGGTTTGTTTTTCAGGATGGTGGCTCATTGAGACTGATATGGTTGCTTTATTTGGCTTGTTTTGGTTGGAAGGAGCTGGATCTGTTCGACAATTCTGCATCCTATTTTGCTTTCTGGCTGATCGCCTGGATGGCCTTTTTGGCAACCAGGTTGACTGGGTTTTTGCTATTTCAGACAATTTTGCAGGACAATGATGATTGCTGTAGCACTGCCCCTTGGAGGGTATTACTGGCAACCAGAGGCTTCTTTCAGACCATGCCGATGTTCCTATCCCTATCGATTAATGCTACAACTTATACCTGAGTCCTGAGCAATTTTGTATACCACAATTTTGTTTTGGTTTTCTCGGGTGGTATAGTTTTTCTTTTTTCAATTGCAATTGTTTTCTTTTCTCACCAGTCCTGTGTTTCTTTTGGGCTGGTCTTAGTTTATTACCTGTAATTTGCTTATTTTAATAGATGGGCTTAGGCCCCAAAATTTTCCAAAAAAAAAAAAGGAGCGACGGCTGCTCGAGAAAATCGAACTCGGAATGAGAGTTCCCAACCAAACACGCCCACCAACCGAGCAAAATATCAATGGGTTTTTTGCCAAATTATGATTTATATTTTTTTTTAAGGACACGTGTATGACTTAAGTTTCTTGTGAGAAAATTAATATTTTTTGGACAGTTAGGGGATTCAAGCTCAAGTGAGATGGGAGGAATTTCTTCTATCGACCACTCAGTTGACCTAGTGGCGTGATTAATCCTCGACTGACATAGAAGAGACACCCACCATAGAAACCTCATAAATTGCACTTGATTAGACCCCACTAGGGGTGTAAGTGAGCCATGCCGGCTCGCGAGCTAGCTCGAGCTTGACTCGTTTATGAGCTCGTAAGTCGAGCTTATTGAGCTCACGAGTCGAGCTCGAGCTCATTTCGTAAACGACCTCGAGTTCGAGCTTGATGAGGCTCTGCTCGTGAGCTCGCGAACCGACTCGAATAATTTTTAAAATTAAGTAATTATTATTTTTATTATATTTAAATCTTACAAAATAACCGCGTTCAGTTTTTTTTTTTTAATATGCATAGAATAGTTCCCAAAATAAGGGCATTAAATATTTGGGAGTTTTACATACATACCACTTAATACTATTCTATTTACATATTTAATACCCTAAACTTTAATATTACATAAATACCACCCATAGTTCATTTTCATACAAAATATGAGTGGTAGAAATGAAATATATGAGTGGTAGGAAAGAAATATAAGTGGTATATTTGATATTAAAATAATATAGGGTGGTATGGATGTAATATTAAAGTTTTAGGTGTTAGATATATAAATAGGATGTTATAAAATGGTATGTATGTAAATTTCCCTAAATATTTTAATCTATTCCCAAGAACAGTTCCCAACAGTAGGCGGGCTCAAGTTGTACCCCTGCCATTCGACTTTCTTCTAAACAGTTCGCATAGAACAGTTTCCCAACACTGGACCGGCTCAAGAAATCTTCTTTTATCTATAGGAAGAAGCAAGAGATCTCTAGTTTATCTATTGGAAAAAGCAAGCAACTAACGGCTAAGATATGTGCGGATGAGCGCCCCGAGGTTTTGCTGGCTGGCTTGTCAGAAATCGGGCGAGAAATGAAGAAACCGGGTGGGCCGGATATCAAATTTGAGCAGCTCGACGAGCTCGTTTATGTAACCCGAGTAGAGTTCGAGCTCGACTTTTGAGCTCGACTCAAGCTTGGTGTTTGACTCGTGAGTCGAGCTCGAACACCTCCTGCCTCAAGCTCGACTCAACTCGTTTGCACCCCTAGTCCCCACCTAAGATGGGCAAATTATTGCATCCGGTCACCGGACGCGGAGATAGGTCCGGATATTAATAAAATATTATTTTAAATTAAGCGCGTCAAAATGAGTAGGTAAAGCGCAGGTCTAAGAGCAGTCAAAAGCGCATGTAAATCACAGTCAAAGCACAACTAAAGCGCAAGTTACGTGGCAAATTTTTATTGGATGTCCAAACCTATTTTCCGCGTCTGGTGACCGGATGCAATAATTTGCCCCTAAGAAGGCTATCGCTCTAGAGGGATCGAGCACAGATTGGGAGGTTTCAAACTGTACTCGCCAACCAACCAAACTAAACAAGAGTGTGTCATTTATATATTGTAAGTATAGATATAGTCTAAAATACGTTTTTTTTTTTTATTTTACTTATTTGGCGCATAATATTATTATATAACGGCACCACATTCGGCTCGGTGGTAGATGACTAGAAGGAACAATTATTACGTCCTCCAACCGAATGCAGAGAAACATTCGGTCGCAGGCAAAAAAATTGCGGTACCGAGGTGTAACGAGTACCGTATACCGAGTACCGAATTTTTCGATACACCTCCATACCGGGGCTTTTTTACTGCCACGAAATATTTCTCTCATTCGGTCGACCGAGCCAAATAAAACTTCGAGTAGAATAGGCAATACGGTCGTCTGGCTCTGGCTGTAACCTTGGAACTTGGATTTCTGATGGCTCGTGGTCTCTTCCTCCTTCTCTGAGTCCTAGTATTAAAGATATTATTCTTGATATTCCCATTGCTCTTAACTGCCCTTATCATATTACATGGGATAACAATGAGAATGCAACTTTTAAAGATTTTTACAATGAGCAATTTTCTGATTCGGATGTGGACTGGTATCAATTAGTTTGGCACAAGAAACATTCCATTAGATACTCTTCTTGCACCTGGATTGCTATAAATGGAGGTCTTAAAACTGTTGATGCTTTGAGGTACAGAAATATTTTAATTGAGAACACCTCTTGCCCTCTTTGCCTTGGTTTTTTGGAAAACTGCTCTCACTTAATGTTTGAATGTGACTATTCATTTCAACTCATAACTATGCTCATTCCACAATTTAAGAATTTTTATTTGAGACCAAATATTGCCCAAGCTCTTCACTTTATTGATGGGCTGAACATCAACCGTGAAACTAAGGATGCTACCCTTCTTATTTTTCATGCTGCTATTTACTTTATCTGGATTGAGCGTAATACCAGGAAGTTTAAAGGTAATGCTGTCTGTGTCACTACTCTTTATAAGAGAATCTCTAGAGCTATTTGCCTCAAGTTGAACAAATGGAAAAACGGTCATCTCTTAATTCAAAAGTTGCAACTCTGCTATTGATAATTACTCCTTTGGGTTATTTCTGGGAACTTTTTTGCTGGTTCATTTCTCTGTCTGGACATCATACATTTGACTGGCATATGGCTTTGTTCTTTCTGCTGTCTTATTGCTTCTATGCAACGAAATTTTAGTTCACTGTGGCTGGCTGGTTGGGCCGCAATTCGAGTGCTTATTTATGAGATAATTTTATGGATCGTTTCTCTGGTTTCGTTTCTTAAGATGGAGATTCTTAACTTGGTTGGGAATTGGATGACACGAGGAAAATTATTAGTCTTTTATGGTTTGTTGGTGGCTTCAAATTGCTGGTTGATCGGTATGTGGCAGCTTTTTAATCTGCTGGGCAATCTTTGTTTCACCGAGAACATTTGGCAGGCTTGCAAGACCCGTCGATACAGTGGTGGCTCAATTTTGGCAGGTTTTGGGTTGCGGACGATGATGAACCCTGCCCCTCCTTTTGGATGGTCTACGGGCAACCAAAGGAGAACATTTCACTTACTCTGAGTCCCGACCAGACAGAATTTTCTCTGTTTTTTGGTTTTCGGTTCTATTTATATATTGTAATTATAGATATAGTCTAAAATACGTTTTTTTTTTTTTTACTTATTTGGCGCATAATATTATTATATAACGGCACCACATTCGGCTCGGTGGTAGATGACTAGAAGGAACAATTATTACGTCCTTCAACCGAATGCAGAGAAACATTAGGTCGCAGGCAAAAAAATCGCGGTACCAAGGTGTAACGAGTACCGTATACCGAGTACCGAATTTTTCGATACACCTCCATACCGCGGCTTTTTTACTGCCACGAAATATTTCTCTCATTCGGTCGACCGAACCAAATAAAACTTCGAGTAGAATAGGCAATACGGTCGGAAAAAAAGATATATGCCACTGTGAAATTCGGCTCTGTGTAGAAATTTCCCGGAAATGTACACGTCTGGAATGCTTAAACGGTGCGTTCTACTTCTCGGCGAAGCCAACTGGTGTGGCGTCCAATCTTCCCTCTACACAAAGGGCCAAAACCTCACCGACCGGCGCTGCCAATTCTCGAAGAAGATTGAGGTAAATATTGCAAGAAGCTGAACCCTTCGAAGGAATCGGCACTTGTTTACGTTCTTCTATGCAAAGGACTAGTTTGATCTGCGGATGCTAGGCAAGCTGTGCGGCGGGATTCTTTCTCAGGTATGTTAAGATCATCCAGCGTTTTTTATTGACTTCGATTTGATTCTTTTAGCTTTTCGATCCCTTAGGGTTTGTGCTGTAGGATTTAGCTTATTTGTGTTCCTTATGACTTTGTTTTTATTGAATTTATTTCATGGATCTTCTTAGCTTTTGTCTATTGTTGTTTTGCGGAACATATTCTGGCAGGAAATTAATGCATCCTGATCTGAAATTTGTGATCTGTTATTGATTTTTCTGATCTCTGAGGAAATTCAGTTCTTTTTGCTGAGTGCAGGAAATTTAGGTGCTTCATTAGTTGGATTCGTCATCTGAAGCTGGAAAACAATGGCTACGGCAACAATGGCCACTGCTGCAGGTGCGGCCGCTTTACTTTACTACACGCTGAGTAAAAAATTACAGACAGAAAAGTCTCGGGATCATAAAGAGGGCGAAGACAGTGATGATGGATCTAGGAATGCTCCTGATGTGAATAGGATTTCTCGGAGGCCGGTGCAAGCACCAGCTACATGGATGGAAACAATATCGACCTTGTCAGAGACTTTGAGATTTACATACTCGGAGACTCTGGGGAAATGGCCGATTGGGGATTTAGCTTTTGGTATCAATTTTCTTCTCAAGAGGCAGGTACGCTCTTGCATTATGTTAGAACTTTAATCAGCTTATGTTTAAGCTTTCATAGAGCGTTTAAGATGAAAAAGTGCCTATTCCAAGCTTCAAGCTGACAGATGTTGTGGCTTTCTATTTTGATTAGGAAAATTTTAAAGAGTCTGGCACAGACATACCTTAGTTCAAGCGGTTGTCTTGATAAAAAGTATTTTCGCATGTCATATTTTGATACTTTTAGGTGCGTGAAATGAGAATCCCGCAGAGATTTGTAGGCCAACTGTTCTGATACCTTAGATCTACTGTTTTGAAGTTTCTTAATGGCTTCATATTTTGATATTTGCTAACATAAAATGAGATGGTACTATAAAGAAGATAAGTGAATATATTCTGGAAGAGCAGTGTAAGCTTGTCAATGAAATAAGAGTAGAGTAACCCATTAGGATATTTGTGTCTATTATGGGAGTATTAAAACGTTTTATGATGTTAGTTGTAGTAATATCCTTATTCATTTTAATACGGTAATGATCTCGAATTTTTTATTCAAATTTTTTAACTCTTTATGTGCATGTTGTGTTTGCATTCTAACTTAGTTGTGAACGCTAAGGAAAGTTAATTTCTCCAAAGGAAAAGCTCTTTATCTTACCATTTTCATGACACAATAGTTGTAGGAGTTTCATGTTTTTGAGATTAATTATCCTTCATCATAGTTTATGAGATGTTGGTGCAATATGTTGTTACTACTTTTTGTCTTTTTCAGCAACTGATTTTTGGTTTTACATTCTGAGTAAATGTACTTGAGGAATCCTATCCAGTGGAGTATCTTGCCTGTTCTTGGTCACCCTCCCAAACTAATTTGCCCACAACCTAGTATTCCTTAAATCTACTTTCTTTTTGTTTAAAACTTATATTAAAATATGTGAATTGTAAAATCAAAGAAAATGTTTAGAAAATAAGGAGCTCAGGATTACTAAAATAAAAATTGAGTATATGCTACACATTTAGTTTTTGTGAAATTGACAATTATGAGTCAATATTTTTAGAAAGTTAAATGGTGCTTGGATGTGATAGTTTTATTTATTTTAGATTTCTTGTGTTGAAGAAAAAGAAAGGAGTTATTGAGTTAAAACTTGGTGGTTAAATGGAGTACCTTTGAGTACTACTTGTCATAAGCAGACATCATGTTGATTTCAGGGTAAAAATATATAAGAGATATCATGTTAGATATATCACATCTCTTTGTTGTAAAGATGTCATAGATAGCTAGGTTGTATGTTAAAACTAGAATGTTAAGATGGATGTGTGGCAATTTTAGGAAGGACATATGAGAGGCTTTGTAAGGGTAGGTACCTCTTGAAGGTAAAGTAGTGAAAAAAACTTAGGTGATTTGAGCATTTTACAAAAGGTGCGTAGAAGATGCATCATCAACAACAACAACAACAAGTCAACAACATCAAGCCTTTGGCCCACTACGTGGAGTCGGCTACATGAATCCTTTTTCGCCATTGTGTCTGGTTAAAAGTCAAATTCTCATTTAAATCTAACAAAGAAAGATCATTTATAATATTTTCTAACCAAGTCTTTTTAGGTCTACCTCAACCTTTCTTAACATAAGTCAAATCTAATACCTCAACTTTCCTAACCGGTTCATCGGAAGGCCTCCATTTAATGTGACCAAACCATCTAAGGCGACTCTCTCTAATGTTATCTTCCACTGGAGCTACTCCAACCTTTTCACGTATATGCTCATTTCATATCCTATCTCTAAGGGTCAAGCCACTCATCCACCTAAGCATCCTCATCTCTGCAACACTTAACTTAGTATTATGCTTCTCTTTTAATGGCCAACATTCGGCACTATAAAAGCATTGCAGGTCTCACCACCATCTTATAGAATTTTTCCTTAAGTTTGAGGGGGACTTTTCTTTCGCATAATAAGCCCGATGCATTCCTCCACTTCAACCATCCAACTTGAATTCTACTGATAATATCCCCATCAATTTCACTCTCTCTCTCTGAACAATAGATCCAAGATATCTAAAACGTGTACTCTTATTAATGATTTGATCGCCCAAAGTCACAATTTCATCACTAGGTCTATTGCTACTAAAATTACACTCCATATATTCAGTTTTTGATCTACTCAAGCGAAAACCTTTAGACTCTAAAGTTGACCTCTATAATTCGAGTTTACATTCAACTCCCTCTCTAGTCTTATCAACAAGAAGAATATCATCAGCAAAAAGCATACACGGTACAGCCTCTTGCAAATGTCTAGTGAGAACATCCATGACTAAAGCAAAAAGATATGGACTTAAGGCTGATCCTCGATGTAATCCAACCGAAATAGGAAAATACTTGGTCAAACCACCTTGTGTTTGAACACAAGTAAAATCTCCTGCATACATATCTTTAATGATTTAAATATAAGCATTATTAACTCCTTTATGATAGATGATGCATCAATTAGATAAAATTATTTTGGAATGAATAGAAACGAAAGAGGTATTTGAATGGTGAGGGGTAGGAAATGTATAAAACAGGTGTATGGATAAAGATGATCCTACATAATTGGGATAAGGCTAATAATGAAGAAGATTTTTAGCAATATGTTTTTTATTTTATCATAACCCTCCCTTTATATTTCAACTTCTGAATTGCTCTGTTTCTTATATAATAAGCTAGGAACTGATGGCAAAAGTATGTAGTCTTTATGTTTGTTTGATTCTGGGATACAAAGTATGAAGCCTTATTTTATGCCTTTTGTGCTGGCATCTAGCTTATACACAGTGAGGGAGAGGATCTTTTACTACCAATGGTTCACTCATGTTAGTGGAATACCCATTATAAGGCATGAGTTATTGGCATCATTTCATATGTTTGCTAAAGCTTCTCTTGCCACCTCTTCTTCCTTTCTTTGCAGGGAAATTTAGATGTTTCTAGTATATATGCTGGAGATAATTGTGTACAACTTAAAGGACCGAAAATCACCTCTGAGCTAACGTATCTCTTAAATTTGTTGACTCTTTGTTGGCATTTTTCAAAAAAGCCATTCCCATTGTTTCTGGAGATGACGGGTTACTCTTACAAAGATGTTCTACTCCAGGAACCAAAAGCAGGGGTGAGTTCTATACAGTAGTTATTTGAACTGCGGAGTTTGTCTTTAATCCTGCTAACTTTTAGATTTTCTGTCACGATAGACAATTTCTTTAGCTTCTTGAAGAGTGTAATATTAAACCTTATTCAAATGCTTGTTTTGTTTAATATGCTTGCAGATTTTGAAGCCAGCTTTTACAATTTTGATTGACAGACATACTGAGAGCATCCTTCTACTCATTCGTGGGACTCATAGTATAAGGGATACTTTGACAGCGGCAACTGGGGCTATTGTGCCTTTTCATCATACACTTGTACATAAAGGTGGTGTTAGTGATGTAGTTCTTGGCTATGCACACTGTGGAATGGTTGCGGCTGCACGGTGGATTGCGAAGATAGCAAAGCCATGTCTGACAAAAGCATTACTCGATTTTCCTGATTACCAGCTAAAGGTAATGAATGATTTCCATATTTGCTACTCAAGATCCTTTCACTACAAACTTATAACTTTCTTGAGACCAGATATCACGAGATGATAAAAAAGAAGACTTTTTGCTTTCCTTCTGGTTTCTTCTGTATATGGCTTTAGATTTTCCTTGTACTTTTTCTTCTTTAATATTCTGTATTATGTCTCAAACAATGCCTCCACCAAGCTAACTTGTTTTTACAGTTCTAAAATATTTTTATAATAAGTAATTGTACTCGTGCTGTGTGGTGTTTATCCTTGTTTTTTGCTGATTGAAACTGTTTAATTAAGTCGAGTCATATTTATTTTCTCATTTTAATTAAGATTGAACATTTTTTAATTTAGTCTCTTTGTGTTTCCTTACCTCTGAAGTTATAATTTTGATTAGGTTGTCGGGCACTCTCTTGGTGGAGGTACTGCAGCACTCTTGACATATATTTTACGTGAGCAGCAGGAGTTTGCAGCTGCTTCCTGCGTTTCATTTGCTCCAGGTTTGCATTCATCCGGCATTATCTATGAAAAGGCACATGCAGGGACTTGCACTCATTTCATGCACATTTGTTCATATGCCTCCTTATATGTGTGCAAGTGTGAATGCGTATATTTATGTATATATACATAGATTTATTGCTATAGGCCTGAAGTAATAGTTAGGCCACCTCTTCATTATGACGGTGGTGGGCATCTCTTGTGTGTTACAAAAAATAGTCTATTTGGAAAACAATAATACAGATATGTACCTTAATTAGTGGAAGCCTCATGCACTGGATACATTTTTTTTATGTGGAGGCGAGCTACTATCCTGCAGATGTGAAAGCAGACTTTCCTAATCTATCATATGTCATTCTTGTCTATCTTTTGAGGGAGTGCATCTTGATTGCTTCTTGTTTATTTTGTAATGCTATCATCATTTGCTTTCACCACGTGTTTAATTCACCTAGCCTCCCATTTCTTTTCATCATCATCATCTTTAAGATATCCCAATTGCTTTGGTCAATTTATGAATTCTCATGTTCATTGGCTCCATTTCCTATGAGCATTACCTTCTGGAAAACCTGCGATCTATTAGATCAAGATGTAGAATCTCCTTTATTGCTGCTGTCTTATTCTTTTGCATCAAGAACTAGTGACTTTCCTCTGCCCTTGTCTTCTTGCATAGTGTCTATTACCTTATCTAACTTTTTTCTCTCTCTTTATACCAATTGAGAAAGACATCACATCTTCTCCTTCTCTGGCAACAGTCAGCCTACTCTCTCTCTCTCCCACCTCATAAAATGACAGTTCCTCAAGCAATGGCTCCAATAACCATTATATACCTATCTAAGGTAGGCATCTTATCATTTACCTTTGTTTGATTGCAGGGCAAATTTTAATTGATTAGGGAAAGAAATGAGCCTTATATAGAACTTGGATTTTAATTAGTTCTTAGCAACTAATCTCTAACCTCATGTAAAATCTTTTATGCATGTATTCATTTTTTTGTCTCAGGCGAACTAGCCTTGACAGGACATTATGGCTTTGCATTGATGATTCTACCTATTTGCACTAATATTACCATGTATACCATTAGTACCAGTAGTAAATTTTCAATGGAAAGCTCTGTCCTTCATTTATGAGTTTACACTTTTAAGTTTGTTGATGTAATATTGCATGCTTATATTGTGGGTATGAGCAGTTGAAGATGACTTGACAGATGACAATTGGAACTATCTTGCATACCATATCATTCATGTAATCCTTGGTGATTGCAAACTTCAAGTGACACATAAGATCAAGTTCTTTTTATGGCCTGTTATGAATACAATCTAAAGGGTAGGGATTAAGATGGGGTATGTTGTCTAAACCTAATTTATGCGCTAGATTTGTAGAAATAAGGTTCTTTTGGCTATTGGCGTCGATGGCGGTTTTGATCATCTCAGGTTTGACCTGTATCCTCAGGGAGAATAACTCCTCTAATGTATCCTTTAATGGAGGGTAATATTGTGACTACATCTTCCAACATTGTCATCAGAGATAGAGATGAGATCCATCTTATTTGTTAGACTCAACCTGTTGCATATCACAAAAATAAATATTTTTTTCTTTTCATTCTTTCTATTTTTAATGGAAGTATTCAAGGTGAAAATTATCATAATTTTTTTATTGCTAGATATGTGATAATGATTATAAAATTTAACAATGTATAAATTTTATGAGAGGAAGTTATCTCCAGTCCTCCTTTCCTTTGTTCCCTTGGAGAAAATCTCTTTAGTTAGTTCTTCGTGTCTTCTCCATTCTACTTTGGTTCTTATGCTCTGTTGTCATCATTATCATACTCTCCTAATTGAGATCAATGATCATGAACAAATGGAGTTTTTTTGGCAATTTGAAAATAAATCTTGAGGCATACTTCATCAATGTTTGTACATCCAAAGATTTATTTCTGAAGTTAATGGCTTCATGTCGGAACTCCATGTACTCTTAAACATATAATCATTTGTGTTGTCTCAAAGTATCTTACTTCTTCAATTGATCTTTGATGTACCCCATTTGGTTGAAATCTCAACATATTATTGTCACCTATTGATTATTATTCTTCTTTAGATGAGCATTCCACCACTCTATGGAATAATAGCTTAACTTTAGTTTTGCAAAGATGACACAGTCATGGGTGTTATGCCCATATAAGGTGCAGTAAGTCTCTAACTTATCGATCCATGTATTGAGCTTGTCGTCATGAACTATTCCATCATATTTAGGGATCTTCACTTTCTTCTCTTTTACTTTGAATGGTTGCATACTTTTTTCATCAGTGATAATCACACCCTCATCTTTATCCCTCCCAATTATGTTTGCATGTGTCATCAAAGGAGGATTATGATTTGACGACAATAGTCGGTTTCATTCTCATCCACTCTGTCATGGTATCCATTTGCTCCGTCAATCGAGCCACTTGATCAACTAGATTAGCCATTGATTGAATTTTTTCCGCTTCTTTTTCTATATCTATCAACTAGATTTGCCTTCGTAGATGACTTTTCCTCTCTAACAAACAATCGTCAGGCTTTGGCAATGCAATTGCAAGGCAACAATAATTGGCAAAACAACTGCGGCAAGAGATTATTTAGTAGTGCTACCACCCTTGGGTATTGGAACCACAATTTTTGCTATTGTATTAGGAGGGGAGGCTTTTGGAGAAATGGCTTGGAGTAGAGAAAAAAGGAGAGAAAAAAGAAACTTCAATAGAATTCTGATTTTTTTATTACCCTTTTTTGCTGGAAATGAAACTTCTAAATATGTAAAATATAGCCAGGATAAGATTTAATCCTTTCGAAAACAAACTGCACAAGGAAAGAAACCTTATCCATAATAAAAAATTTGATAAATTCAAGCTAAATGATAATTTTTGCAAGAGCCATCTAAACTAATTTTAAGTTTAAATATAAACTTCTCTCAACATGTTTAAAAATTTAAATTCATCTTATTTGATGTAATCTAAAATTGGATCAAATAGTCGAGCTCTAGAGGCACCAATCTCTCTTTTTTTATGTCTGATTGATGATCTTCTAGTGCCTATAAATTCTTTTGGATAACCTCTTCAATCACATAGTGTAATATTAGAATCTCTATCTTAATTTTTTTTTAGAAAAATCAAACTGTTAAAACTTCCACAAATATGACCTTGTTGATCATTTTGCAATATGATTCCCAAATCATGATCGTTCATGATCTATTTGATCCCTATTTTATTTGAATTTATGTTAGAATGACATGTAGCAACAATGAAAAATAGGTTCAAGTCTGGAGAAACAAAGCAAATCAACTATGGTGCATATATGATAAACAATATATTAGGAAATAAAGCAACAGAAATGCCTTGAGAGAGAGGAATAGACGGAATTCTAAAACTTTCATGAGATAGGGTGGGGAAGGGAGAATGGAGTCAATTTCCATGTGATTTAAGATAGTATGTTATACTCCTTGAGTCCTTGGTTTTGGATTTCTAGGAAATTAGAATAAAGTAAAATTCAGAAGAAACTGATCTTATCTTTATTGACTCAGATCCTATTAGATATCTCTAATGCAATATGATTCAAGATAATTAAGAAGTCAATTTCGATATGATTCATGATAATTTTTGTACTCCTTGATTTTGTATTTTTAGATAATTGGAATACACATTTAAATTTAAAAGAAACTAATATTATCTAGATTGATTCAAATCCTTCAGGTAACTCAAATTCAAATATGTAATTGCCCACATGATAATTCAGCTAATTAACTTGAATGAATCTTGAAATTTTAAGATAAACCTAAATAATAAATTACAATTAAGTATAATGGGCCGATTTATTTTAATCTTAATTTTGATTAATCTCTAATCTATTTCACCCCTTGCTTGAAAGCGCTCTGCTATGAAACGTCCCTTTGAAGTCTACTCAAAAGTGTTCCTCGAGCATTTGCTTGGAGTGTTTGTCGTGCATTTTTTAGGACTCCTTTCTAAATATCCAATTACTTCAAGTTGATTGGATCTTTTAACTCTGTTTTACCTTATTGGGTCATATTATTTTGTTAATTCGACCCATTCCTGACTTGACTTATTCGCCTGCGTCGCACCAAAGAACCCTTTAAGTGTATGGCACGCCATGTGTAACACTTTGATCCATTCCTCAAGAGTGGGCAAGATAAAAATAAAGAGCAATCTATGAAATTTTCAGGATAATATAATTTAATAATTTTCCTTTTTTTAACTAGATAAAACAACTAAAGGTAATGAGTTTAGCTTTTAGTTTACTGTTTGAGTAGACATTTATAAAATTTGTTGCTATTATAGTTAGTTTAATATCAATTGTAATTGAACATACATTATCAAAAAGTAGGGGTGTCAATATTTGACACGAACTGAAAGCTCAACTTGAAAATTTCGGGTTTGAGTCAACCTGTTTCGAAAACGGGTCGGGTTTGGGTCAACCTGAAAACCCAAAAGCAACCTAGAAGTGACCCGCTCCTGCGCACGGGTCACCTTGCACTCGCTCGCTACTTCGAGCGCTCACCTAACCGCCCATGCAAGTGCTTGCCCGCTCCTGTGTGTGAACGTCCACTTGCCCGCTTGTGACGCGTACTCCAATCAGGTTAGCGGAATGGGTCGGGTCAGTTCGAATTGGGTTGAAGGTGGTTTGCGTCTGGGTTTGTGACCCATTTAGCTAATTGGGTTGGATTCAGTTAGAGCTAGTTTCGGGTTGTAACCTACTAGAAAGATGAGAAGAAAACTTCCTTGAGTCAACTACTCCTTTCTGGCTATGGCTCGTTTGCATCTAACCATTCTTTGCATTAGATACAATCACCAGTTGGGTTTCTTTCCTTGCATTTGAAGGTCCATTTGCAACCATCAACTCTTTTTTGCTTTTAGGGAGTTGCACAAGTCCCAAGTTTCATTATGTCGTAAATGGTGTAACTTATGAAGCACAAACACTTAAAGAAGTTTTTATGTCTGTTTTAGGTGCTTATTAGATATGTGTACTCTTTCAGCAAGCCTCTACATGTATCCAACATACTGAAAATCATGTTTGTTGTACAATTTTCCAAAATTAGAGTCAAACATGGCTGGACACTCCCTTACATTGCCGGGATATGTGTCAACATGGTTTATTTACCCCCTTTTTTTGGGGATAAAAAAACGTTTATGATTCTTCTAGGCTCGCATACTTAATGTACTTGTTTCAATGTTATTTTATGTTTGATTTGTGCCTTTTTTTCTCGTTTATTGCATTGCTTTTGATAGGTACGTTTTAAACATTTACCATTAGGTTAACCAAGAACAGTTCAAAAACAACTGTTGATGCTGACATCTTATTCATAATAATATACATGATATTTATATGAAGTATCAGAAAGCTGTCAAACATGGTAATATTTATGTAAAATGCAAGTCGACTGGCTTAATAAATGTGCTTGGAAATGCAACATGAATTAGTTTGCTTAATTGGTTCTCTTGCATCTTAAGATAGTTTTTTCAGGAGTTTAGAGATCTGTACTAAAATTATGTCTAATCTAATGAATAACATGTATTAAAGGCGTTTTGGTAACAATCGAAAATTATATGAACTTTATTCTCTTAGAAAAATAATTATAGATCTTCATGAAGGCATATGTTTTTTATCTTTATTAACCAACAGTTAGTTTACTGCTAACCTTCCAATGAATGACAACTCTTCCTGTGCTTTGCATATGCATTATAATATACTAACATTCTTAGCCTAACTTAAAATTTATTGCACATGCAGCTGCATGTATGACCTGGGACTTAGCAGAATCAGGCACACACTTTGTTACCTCAGTTATCAACGGAGCTGACTTGGTTCCTACATTCTCTGCGGCATCAGTAGATGACTTGCGTTCCGAGGTTATATCTGAAGCCTCGCTTCCTGCAATTCATTATGTTATATATATATATATAATCCAAGGTCACTTTTGGAGCTTTATTTACATATTCAATTAATGTTAGATTAGCTAGAGTCAAATGTTTCAACAGTTTTACAATGTAGAAATTGTTCACTTCAGCCAAGCCTTATTTTTCCTGAAACTAGTAAATATGTATGGAGAAATGAGTTTGGATTTTTCAGTTATTACTTTGAATTTCCAGTTTCTGCTTTTGTTGTCAGTTAATAGTACTATCTCTGCTTTCCAGTTCTGCATCTACAAACAATGCATGTTGTCTTTCAAAATATTTTAATATAATTTGCACTGAATAGGTCACTGCATCAGCATGGTTAAATGATCTAAGAAGTCAAATAGAGCAAACAAGAATCTTGAGTACTGTATATCGCTCTGCTTCCGCTCTGGGCTCTAGATTATCATCAATTGCTAGTGCTAGAGCAAGAGTTGCTGGTGCTGGTTCAATTCTTCGTCCAGTCTCAAATGGAACACAGGTTTGTTTCAAAATTATTGGCATGGTATTTCATAAAATCGAAATCTAAATATTTGTGATAAGGCAAACTAATGTAAAATATTGCCGCAACAATTAGTAACTTCAGTTCTCTGAAACCATGGGAAATTGGTTGCTTCTTGAAATGTTATTTATTATCCAAATCTCTAGATCATAGCTTCTCAACCTTTTTTGTGAAATAATTTCTCATAGGTTGTGATGAAGAGAGCTCGCAATGTGGCCCAGGCTGCTTGGACTAGTCAATCCTTACGGATTACATCATGGTCATGTATTGGTCCTCGTCGCCGTCAGAATGCCACTATTCCTGCTTCCACATTAAGATCAGATGAAACTGGTACCAGGCCTTCTACCTCAACTGTTGAGACAGTGGAGCCTTTTCTGGCATCAAACAAAACTGTCATGGAAACGCGAACAGAGATAATGACAGCCCAAATCGAGGATGTTGCCGAGGACGATATTGATGAGGAGGACCTCATAAGCCTTGCACGGAATGAGGAAGATAGCATGACTGAAGCTGAGCTTTGGCAACAGCTTGAGAGTGAGATCTACAGAGGAAGTGAGGATGAGGAGACAGAAGTTACAAGGGATATTAGGGAGGAAGAAGTTGCTGCTGCTGCAGAGGTAGGCGAGGCAAGTGAATCAGATAGCTTACTCCCAGTAGTTACAAGTGAGGTCCACCGATTTTTTCCTCCAGGGAGAATAATTCACATTGTAACTTCTAATCCGAATGAAAGATCACTTGAGGAGGTAAGTGAAAACGTTGATACTGAATTTCAAGAAGAGAAGTCCAATATTGGGGTCTTCCAGACCCCAAGATCACTGTATGGAAAATTGAGGCTCTCACTGGCAATGATAAATGATCACTACATGCCAATTTACAGAAGGAATATGGAGAAGCTGATTAATGAGCTTTTGAAGGAAGAAGCTTCTTCACAAGAGGAATGCCATTACAAAGACAGATCGTTATAGGCAAGTAAATTGCTCCATTAGCTAAAATAGGGCTTTGTTTTAGATTTGTGCAGGTATCAATATGATGCTTTACATGATTTTCTGTGTCTGATGGTTTCTTTGTTACCTTCTTCATTTTTTTTTTGTCACCTTTGCTTGTGATCCTGTATATCCATGGAAGTGATGACCTGACAAATTTAATTAGCTCTGCCTGAGAATGAAATATCTGACAAATTTAATTAGCACCTAAACTCTTATTTTAGACTGGCAGATCTGACCTTCAAATGTAATATTTGAACCATCCATTCTCTATGCCATTATTTTATACAATGTTATACTTGATTCCATGAACTTGTAAGATTTTTTCTATTCAAATACTGAATATGGTTACTTTCTGGATTAATCTACCTAAAATGTTATACTTGATTCCATGATGCGGACATCGGTACGAAGATTTGGTGCATCTATCACAGGAGGCGTCGTAAATCGACGGCTGTAATTTAAACCTTCAATTATGAGTTAATTTTCTGAATTTTAGTTCTTATTTGATGTATTTCCTGTTTTACCCATAGGTTGGTTTATGTGAGTGTTGTGGTCAAAGGGGCAATTTTGTATTTTGAGTTTTCTTATGTTGTGGCCTATATATAGGGCCTTAAGCTATTGTAATAGCGATGAATTATTGATATAAAAAAATTGTGTTCCACACTTGTGTTCTTGTGAAGAGGACGATAGTGAGATTTCTATGGGAAGGAATCGGAGTTTCACCAGCCGCAGAATGGGTCCGGGCTCGTGACTGGAAGTCCCTTGGAGAAGGGCAAAGCATCACCCGTCAGTCTTTGGAAGAGTCCAATGCTCGCGGTTTTTAACTTTTATCTTTGTTTTTGTGTTTGTTCCTTCTTATTGCTCCTCGTAGTAATATCTTAGTCTTTATTTTCATTCTCTTCACCGTTCCCCTCCTTCCGGCCATCCCCACCACCAACCACACCCGTCCAAACCGCCGGCCATGGCTCCCTAGCTGCCGGCCTCACCTTTCCCCCTTCCTTCTTGAGTTTCCTAATTTGAGGTGAATGACATTTGGACTTAATTTGAAATTCAAATTATCTAAATTTGAAATTCAAATTATCTAAATTTGAAATTCAAAATTTATTTCCTAATTTAATTCGCATAAATTAGGAAAGCATTTAATTTAAATCAATTGGAATTTGGGTGAGCAAATTTTGGGTAGCTGGCAAATTCAAATTCATGAAATTTGACAATTGAAAAGTTTTCCTAATTTGTCATTCTGTTTTGGGGAAGTTTTTAAATCAATTCTTTTGAATTTTAAATTCAATTGGATTTGGTTAATTACTTCCCTAATCCTAAATTTACATTTATGCAAGCATGACACCTCATCCCCAAATTCCCTCTTGCCCATTAATGCTGCCGCCCCCTTCATTGTGTTGGAGTTAGATTTATTTCCTTAAGCTAAGTATCTCTTTTGGAAATATTTCAAATTCACCAGATCTCCTCTTAACCGAATTTTCCCCAAGTCCTAAGCTTTAATTTTATTTCCTAAAATCAGAAATCAGATTTTAGAAATAAAATTCCCTCAGCTTTAATTCCTATTCTAACTCCCAAATCAATTCCCTGATTTTGGGGAATTGAACTCCATTAAAATCCCTGTGTCCCGCCATCCCCTCCCTCTACTCCTAATTGTTCCAGCACATTTCTCTAGCCAAGACCCGTGGATGGGAATTTTCTTCTCAGCTTTTCTCTTCAAGTGCAGGCCGAAAATCTCAAGGCCCCACCTCCATTAATTCCTTCCAAAATCCAGCTTCCCTTTTTGGAATTCAATCACTGCTTTCCCTCTTGCTCCACGACCATCTTCCTCTCTCCCTCTTGCCCGAGAAAGCTCCCCAACTCAAGAGTTTTTGAGTTGGAAATTATTCACAGCTTTCTCTCCACCTTGAAGGCTAGTTTATTCTCTCCAATCTCCCTATATTCTAGTCCACCGAAACCTGAAAACTTTTTCTCAGAGTTTTTTTGTTTGGAATCTGAAACTGTTTTCAGATTCTACAAGAGGAGTTGGTGCTTATTCTCCCTCCTCTTTCAAAAAAGAATTCTGAATTCTCTCAGGTTTTGAGGAACAAAGCTGAAAGTGTTCTCAGATTTTGAAGATGAAATCCTCTCCTTAGCAGAGCCCTACCCGTTCTACATCAGTTCATCTGTTGCATGTTCTAGGAGATTGTGGTTATTCAATACTAACTATGGTTAGTGGTTGAATTGATCTGGTTATTTCTGTATGTCTTATGTTTATTGCATGAGAGGATCTAATGTTCAATTTGTTATGTAATGTCATGGTTGTTTGTCTATCTAATGTTCAATACTCTCATCACACACAGGAAGCTTTCCAACTAGCTCATCTAAATGGGTGTAAATTAGTTAAATTTGAGCGACCCTGCAAAAATTTCTGTTTGTATTTGTACATCAAATGTAAAAATTTATCGCCTTAATGTATATGTATCTATATAAATATGCATGAATATGATTGTAGATAAATAAACATACACACATAAAAAAAATTATTAATTATATTTATATATATCAAGCTGAATACAATCAAATAAGATTATGTTCATATTTGGTTTGTAAAACATAATTTTTTTTAATAGAATTTAAATTGATTTTTGAGCACTACACAATTGAACATTTAGAACTAACTTGTTTGACACACTAATTGTGCAAGGACCTGATAACTTTAACAAAACCAATCAGATCTGACTTGGATGTGCCCATTTACACCAAAAAATAGGATATGACTTATGGAATGATATTTTTTTGTTACAGGATCTTGAATCTGGAGATCGAAAAGTCCAGTTTTAGAATGCATTGGGCTTGTTGTGTGATAGAAAAGTCCTCAAACTTAAAGAAATATTTTATAAGATGGTGGTTAGAACTGCAATGCTTTATGATGCCGAATGTTGGTCGTTAAAAGAGAAGCGTGATATTAAGTTAAGTGTTGTAGAGATGAGAATGCTCAGGTGGATGGCGGCTTTACTCTTATAGATAGGATACGAAATAAGCATATATGTGAAAAGGTTGGAGTAGCTCCAATGGAAGATAAGATTAGAGAGAGTCGCCTTAGATGGTTTGGTCACATAAAACGGCTTCCTTCAAATGACCCGGTTAGGAAAGTAGAGATATTAGATTTGACTTATGTTAAGAAATGTAGAAGTAGACCTAAAAAGACTTGGTTATAAAGTATTAGAAATGATCTTTCTTTATTAGATTTAAACAAGAATTTGACTTTCAACAAGACATAATAAAGAAAAATGATTCATATAACCGACCCCACGTAAATCTAGAGAAACATAATATTAAAATCAGCAGAAAAGAAGCTAATCAAACCAAACACTAAATCATGTCTAGAATCTCAGCTTTATAACCAATCGAATCAGATCAAAGCAGCAAAGTGCATCTTTATTCTACAATTCACTTCAACTGCAAATAAGTAGTTCATGTTCTGTATCTCCCAGCACCAACATATGAGTACCCAGTACCAAAATAAGCTTTCCTTTCTCATTTGCAGAGCTCATATGCTTGCAAGGATCTACCAACATTTCAATCACAGAGACTCCATTAGCAGCTGTGAACGCCCGGTCGAATCCGACCAGCTGCCGCTTCGGCGAGCCTCTAATGCTTTTAGCAGATCTGGAAAACAACAATATAGCATGGCTTCCCTCCATTTCTCCATTGTTTGCTACTGAAATCTTCACAGTAAACTGCAAGTCCTCGCATGGTGTGGTCTCATCAATGCGCAGAAAATCAACCTCGCCATGCCCTTCAGATGCAGGTTCTCTATCGATGAGAGCTTCAGAAAAGGAGGAATTCGCCAAGCTTATTTTACTAGGAGCAGATAAGAATTTGTAGGCATAGCTGGAGTAGCTTAAGCCATAACCATACTCATAAACAATCTTTCCTGAGTAGAATCGATAGGTTCTTCCTGGGTAACCTCTTGAAGGATTAGCTCTCATGTTCATGTCGTTCATTGGCACGGTAGTGAAGGATTCTGGGTACCAAGTCACTGGCAGCCGCCCACCTGTGTCCTCATTGCTTAAGCAAATCAGAAGTTGTGCAGAGACCGGATGCAGAATGTCATCCGGAGACCAACCAGAATGCGCCACGTCAGCAATACCGAGCGGTACCGAGCCGCCATACTGAGCGCACGGGTGATGTGGTGCATTTCAGTTGGTCTCCGGACGGCGTTCGGCGTCCGCACAGAATAATTAATGCTTTAGAAGAGAATGGATTTTTAGGATTTAGATTCATAAATTAACTGTCTAATATAGTTTAAAATTGAAATTGAATGTACTCTGTTTATTCTACTATGGCTTGATTCAACGCAAATCGCTTGATGAACACATCCTGATGCGAATTTGCATCAGAACATCTTGAATCTTGATAGAAAAATTTTCACGCGTTATAGAGAGATATTGATATGAAAGAGTACGTATGTGCAGAAAGGCAGTATTTGTAGTTAATTAATCATTAAAATCTGTTGAGTGTTCTTGCTAATAAAAAGAAAAAAAAAACTTGAAAACTACTGCAGTAAGACTAAAAAAATATTATTATTTTTCAAGAAAATGATAAATTAAAGGTCTTATTTTATAAGGAGTATATTAATCATGAATTAGCAAGAGGAGCATATTATTAAAAAAAATTTAAAAGAATAAATTCGTCAAAATATTTGGCTCATTCAAAATGAGCCAAATACTTTGACGTGTTCAGCTTAAGAGAGAGAGAACTTAAGAGAGAGAAAGAGAGAAAGAGAGAAAGGTGGCAGATTAAGGGAAAGAGAGAGGGTTCACAGAGAAAGGAGAGAGGCGGGGAGAGCAGAGAAAGAGAGACGGGGAAAAAGGATTGAACTTTTTATACAAAAACTTATAAAACAGTTTAAATATTTTATATATTTTAAATATCAGTTTAAAAATTATTTTAGCTATTATTTAAATATAAAAATATAAATTTTTCTGTTAGATTTGAATATTATATTTAAACAAGAAAATTTATATAATATTATTAACTCTCTCTCTCTCTCTCTCTCTCTCTCTCAAGCTGAATATGCAAAAACTATTCTTTTAATTTTTTTAATAAACATGCTACTCTTATTAATTCTAATGATTAATATGCTCCTCTATAAAGTAAAGCCTAAACTAAAGGCAATTATTTATAAAAATTTCCCTCCTTTCATTTAATTTGAAGAATTAGTTCTTCTAGATTAGTTAATCCAAGCAACTTCTAATCCCATTCAAACATATCAGGATTACTTTCATTGTAAAGATCCCGGATTAAGTTCACCTGCTGTCATATTAAACATCATTAGATTAGAATTAACCTAATCCCAATGTTACTTTTAAGATTATCTGATAAGTTGTAAGATAACTGATTATCATTAAGTTAATCTCTAATTTCAAACTAATAAGCATCACTAAAGCTTGCAGAAATCAATTAAGAAAGTATTCGACACTAACCAGGGTTGAAATCACCAAAGAGAGCCTCTGCAAGCACCTGCCCACCAACTTCACCGGGGTAGCCGATCCATATAATGGCGGAAATCCTGGAATCCTCTTTTGCAAAGGAAACATCAAGAGGACCTCCACCCATAAGAACCAGTATCAGAGGCTTCTTGCTTGCAGAGGCAATGGCATGAACAAGTTCCTTCTGCTTCCCTGGAAGCAGCAAGCTCACCCTATCATGGTCCTCAGTTTCTTCGGTAAGGTTCAGCCCTGCAACCACAACAACAACTTCCGCCGCTCCGGCTACTCGAACCGCCTCTTTCAAGCCATTAGCGGTCACGCAGGAGGTGTTGGCGCAGCCGGCAGCAAAAGCGGTGCTCGGCACATAATCTCTCAGCCCATCAAGAAGCGTCTTGGGATCACAGGAAACTCCGCTGTAGCCGCCGCCCAGAACCTCAGTTCTGTTTCCGGCAGGACCAATCAAAGCCATGGAAGCCACATTGCTCCTTCTTAGTGGCAGACGCCCTCCCTCATTCTTCAGAAGCACCACTCCTTGTCTCGCAGCTTCGAGAGCAAGCTGCCTGTGTTCTTTGGTACACACATTGCCGGCTCCTAACTCCCCGTACTGCTGCTTCGCCGGATTTCCGTCGAAAAGCTTGAGCCTGAACAGAACAGAGAACAGATTGAAGAGTGCACGGTCGATGTCCTCCTCCTTCACCTTTCCAAGCTTCACAGCTGACTCCGTATGATTAAGCAAATATTTGCCGCAGTTGATGTCCATCCCTTTGTAGATAGTACAAGACGCAAAGCATTTCAGTAGTTGCAGGTCCTAATTACCACTAACTTAAAACGAAATCTCGCCTACCAGCTTTCAGCACATCAGCAACTGCATCTTCTGGCGATGAAGCGTACTTCTGATCCTCGAAAATTATAGCCACGGCGTCGCAGTCTGAAGTGACATATCTACAAACAGAAATGAGACATTCAGGGTTGTAATCATACTCACAATCCTTCCAGGTAAGAAGAAGAAGAATTACCCCTCAAATCCCCACTGTTCTCTTATTTCCGTCAATAGATCTCCGCGGGCGCAGGACGGAACGCCGTTCACTTGGTTATAGGAACACATCAAGCAGCTAGCACCGCCTTCTTTGATGCAGCTCCGGAACGGTGGCTGGAATGTGTCCTCCATGTCTTGATCGGAAACCTAAACATAGAAGCTACATCGCTCAGTCCAACCACCATTATAAACAGATTGAAGTAGTGAAATCCTATCAAACCTGAGCGTCGAATGTGTATCTAGTGAAGTTTCCCCACTTCTCCAGATCATAAGCCGTATAATGCTTGCAACAAGCGGACATCATCAACAATCCACGGTCGCCGCCCTCCCCCAAAATCCTCCTACTACTGCCTCTGATAAAAAGGGACTCATTCGGATTCCAGCCCGACTGCGACTGGAAGGCGGAAACATAATCAACAGCGTAAACAGAAGCGGCCATAGGATCCTCTCCAGGTGTCTCCTGGCCGCGCCCCCATCTAGGATCGCGGAAGATATTGATGTTCGGAGCCCAAAACGTGAGCCCGGCTTGGTCGGCGTTGTACATGGCGCGAGCCTCGATGGCAATAGCGCGGGCGAGGGCGCGCCATAGGGTGCGGTTGAAAGAAGCGGCGGAGAGGATGACTTGAGGAAAGACAGTAGCGGTAGAGATTGAGCCGTTGAAGCGGACACCGGGGCCATTTCCGGCGACGCCGTGGAGGGATTCCGACCACCACTCGTAGAGAGGAAGGCCGAGACGGGGGACGGCAGCGGCAGTGTTGGAGAGCTGCTTGATCTTTTCTTGGAGGGTGAGGAGTGAGATGAGAGAGCGAACGCGGTCGGCGATTGGGAGGGAGGTATTGCAGAAGGGGAAAGAGTTGAAGTGCGGAGGCTTGCAGGGGAAGTCACGGTTAGCTACGGCGGCTGGGAGGACGGCGAAGAGGAGGAGGAGCAGAAGGGGCAGCTGTATCTTTCTCCGGCGGCGTGGCGGCTGCATTCTTTGGATAGGTGGGAGAGCTCTGGTTTTATTTTTTATTTTTTTATTTTGAAAGGCATCAAATTACCAGTTGATCAGATGATTTATTGCGTGCCAATAAATGGTCCCATTTTTTAATTGAAATAGAAAAAAAAATATATTTGGATATAAATATTGTGATAATTTTTTTTAAATTAATAGAATAATATAATTATATTATTAAGTAAAATAATTAAATTATTAAATATTCATCACTATAATCATATTAAAAAATATTTAAAATATCTAATAGTTTAATTATATTAAAAAATAATATGTGATGATATACCCCAAAAACGTCGTATTTGGACCGTACGGGCTCAAAATTTGGAGCCCGGATGCGTTTAGGTGATCGAACCAGACTCAATTTTGAAAATTTCAAAGCTCAACTAGACCTCTCTGATCAAGTTTGATAAAGTTTTTAATTTTTGGAACTCAATTTTTTGCGATTCGATCAATGTAAAATTTCGACACATATTTTTGGACTTATGGAGCTTCGACATCCATAAATAAGGGGGCAAACTGATATATCATCGAAAAATTATCTTGATCAGGCATGAATCTTGAGGCAAAAATAAAGTTGGAAACTTCAAAAATTAAATCTGGGATCATCTGAACTCTAATTTCAGCAAACTTACAGTCAAACTGATCGTCTCAGAAATACGAACCCAACGACACCAAATTCAGCTCAATTCGAGCCCAAATGGGTTTGAATCAAAGGCCCAAAGCACATTTGGAAGGTACAATCCATAATTTGGATTACCAAACAGTATCCAAATATGACATGCTTATAATCGAATCGAGCGAATCGACGAGATGAATCCAATGAGCCCTAGATCGCCAAATTCTAAATCATTAAGACCTTCAAATGTCTGATGAACGGTCCACGATCAAGGGATTCAATATCGGTCATCCATCCAATCCGTTTTGTCATACATTCTTGGTGGATTCTCTCGACCTCTTCCACATAGGGTAACGTCATCGAGCAAATGCTCTGACATATAACCTCAAATAGGTCATATATCATTGATGGATTCTCTCGACCTCTTCCACACATTTTAACATCATCGAGCAAAGGCTCTGACATATAACCTCGGATAGGTCTTACATTCTTGGTGGATTCTCTCAAAATCTTCCATACAGGTTAACGTCATTGAGCAAATGCTCTGACATACAATCTCAGATATGTCATACATCTTTGATGGATTATCTCGACCTCTTCCACATAGGTTAATGTCATCGAGCAAAGGCTCTGACATACAACCTCAAATAAATCTTATATCCTTGGTAGATTCTCTCAACCTCTTCCATACAGGTTAACGTCATCTAACAAAGGCTCTGACATACAACATCGCATAGGTCATACATCATTCGTGGATTCTTTTAACCTCTTTTATATAGGTTAACGTCGTCAGAATATCGTCGGACTTTCATCGGATTTCTACCCAACGCTGTACTTCTACCAGATGTTGAATTTCAACCCGTCGTCAAACTACTACCTGTCGACGAACTTTCAACGGACTTCTACCCGACACCGAACTCTTGCCCGTTGCCAGACTTTCGTTGGGTTTCTACCCGACATTGAATTACTACCAGTCGTCGGACTACTACCGTCGACGAACTTCTATCCGACGTCGGACTCCTGCTCGTCGCCGGACTTTCGTTGGGTTTCTACCCCAAGTCGAATTTCAACCCGTCGTCAGAATCTCGTCGGATTTTTACCTGACGCCGTATCAGACATTGAATTTCGAGCCATAATTGGACCTTCGTTGGACTTCCATCAGATGCCAAATTTCTACTCGATGTTGAATTTCTACCCGTCGTCGGACTTCTGTCCGTCATTGGACTATCGTTGATCTTCTACCCGACGTCGTATTTCTACCTGACGATGAAATTCCACCCGTAGTTGGACTTCTGTCCTTCAACGGACTTTCACCAAACTTCTGCTTATTAACGGTCTTTCATTGGACTTCTATCTGACGCCGGACTTTTGCCAGTCGCCAGACTTTTGTCCGTCGTCGGACTTTCGTCGGGCTTCTACTTGATGTTGGATTTCTACCCATCGCCAACCAACTACAGATGTGAATCCCTCTTCGTTATGAAATCTCTCGAAGAAGAGTGATCACCCGACATGCCCTCTTTATAGGAAGGGGCCCTGCAATTGGATAGGGGATGCCACCTATCCAAAAGTAGGGGAAAGCCTCCCGTATAGGAAGAGGGCAGAATGGGAGAAGGGAGGAAGGGGGAGAAATCTCCTTCTTGCAGAGAGGGGCCCCGGGCCTGGACAGGGGTGCCGCATGTGTAGGGCCTGGGGGAAGGCCTCAGATGAAAGAAGAAAAAGAGAGAGAGACATCCTTCTTACAGAGAGGGGCCTCGAGCCTGGACAGAGGATGCCGCCTGTGCAGAGCCTGGGGGAAGGCTCAGATGAAAGAAGAAGAAGAGAAAGAGACATCCTTTCAGAGAGGGGCCCCGAGCCTGGACAGGGGATGCCGCCTGTGTAGGGTCTTGGGGAAGGCCTCAACTGAAAGAGAGGGAGAGGTGCAAGAATTTTTCATATCCCCAAGAGGGGTATTTATAGTAGGAAGGATGGGAAGTTGGAGAAGGGAAAAAAAAACCTTAACCTCCAACGGTTAGCTAGCGGTTTAGCCAACCGCTAACCGCGGCTCAAATGCACAACGGGCCTGATGTGGGCCACATCAGCGGCGCGGGTGAGCGCTTGCAGAGCAGATCAACGGCAGAGCGGAGCCGGGCAGACCGGGCAAGCGTGTGATCGCGCGAGGAAGCGTTTGGTCATGCGAGGTAGCGCGCGACTGCGCCGGCGACAGCACCGGCAGCGGCGAGGGTGGCTTCCGATGCCGGTCCGCGGCGCCCGGTGGCAGTCGGTAGTGGCCGGCGGCCGCACCGTTCCAACACTTTCCCTGACCCAATTTTGGTCCCCAAAAGGTAAAATCGTACGTTTTTTGGGTCCTCTCAACCATTTTTCAACGTTACGGACTCAATTTTGACACTTTTAAAATACTTCGGGACTTCTACGCCCAAGATCAGAGTACGTTCGAATTTCAAATCACCCAAAAAATTTCTCACAGGTTTCGACGTATATTTTTGGACTTCTGGAGCATCGACGTCCAAAAACAAGGGGGCAACTAATACTTTATCAAAAAATCATATTGATCGAGCATGAATCTCAATGCAAAATCAAGTTGGAAACTTCCAAAATTAAAATTGGAACCATACTAACTCCGATTTCAGTAAACTTATAGTCAAACTAATCGTCTCAGAAATATCACCCCAACGACACCAAATTCGATTCAATCAGAGCCCAAATGAGTCAAAATCAAGGACCTGAAGCGCTGTTGGAAGGTTCGAACCACAATTTGGATTACCATAAGGATTGGATGGACGGCCGATATTGAATCCCTTGATTGTGGACCGTTCGTCAGACATTTGAAGGTCTTAATGATGTCGGAATTCGGCGATCTTAGGCTCGTTGGATTCGTCTCATCGAGCCGCTTGATTCGAGTATAAGCATGTAATGTTTGGAAACCGTTTGTTAATCCAAATTGTGGTTCGAACCTTCCTATAGTGCTTCGGGTCCTTGATTTGGACTCATTTGAGCTCAGATTGAATCTAATTTGGTTTCGTTGAGTTCGTATTTCCGAGACGCTCAGTTTGAATCGGAGTTAGGATGGTCCTAACTTTAATTTTGGAAGTTTCCACCTTAATTTTGCATCAATATTCGTGCCCAATCCGTATAATTTTTTGATGTATCAATTACTATTCTTATTCTTATTTTTATTTTCATTTTTACTTGTCCTAGTATTAAATAACAATAAATTTGGCAATAACCATACAAGAAATTTGGAAATCTTTAGTGGGTGAGAGTATGTCATCATCGCCCAGCTTTCAATAAAAACTTGGTGCTTTATAATAGAGAAATTATTACGTGCGGAATCCAGATGCAGCTTACGTCTGAACTCCAATTAGAATAGGTCGCGTCAGCCTATACATACTGTGCATAATTTGTATACAAATTGTACACAACGTACATGCGACGTGACCAATTCTGATTATAATCCGGACGCTGTCCAAACTCTGCACGTAATAATTTCTCCTACCATAAGCCCTTACTATAGCAGTTTCAATTGGAGAACTTGATCTTCCCTCAAGATGAGGATGCCATAAAAGAGTTGCGCGCATAATATTATGTTCTTCTTCATGCATTTCAAGGAAAAAAAAAAGAAAATAATGCCTTTTTTTAAGATAAATACTTGAAAAGGATTAGCAAAGCTACAGAAGGCACCATCTCTCCCATCTGATAATTCAAAGATGACTGAAAATACATATACAGACTGTACATATTACAGGGTTCAGGATATCCATACAGAACCGCTCAAACACCTTGGCTGGTATACATATTGCTTAAGGGGCTCATCTTTTTTATAGCCTATAGCTCAAAAACCTTCCTCATTTTCCATTATGCATTAACATACTCATTACCTGAAATGTAGAATAACAAGTTCAATGTTATAATTGATTCAGATGGCATGTTGAAGGTTTTGTTTGAAAAAGTTTTCTTATTGTTTTCTAAAGCAATTAGAACGCAATAAAAAAATTGTCCCAAACGACGCTGAAATCTCCCACTTAAAGGAAGTACTCATTGCTATGCTGATTTTGCAGTAGTAATAATATAACACAAAGCTGTATTCAAAGTGGAACCTTAGAAAACTGAAAAACATAGTTACAACAACAAAAAACTTTTATGCCGTTACGTGAGGTCGACTACTGAATCATTTTTCTCCATTGTGTATTATTAAGAGTCAAATTCTCATTTAAAACTAATAACAAAATTTGGGTACTTCTGGAATGAAATATCATGACAAGGGAAAACATAGATGTTCAAATATCTATACATATAGAAATTGATCATTAATCTCTTACTCAATATGCAACATAAACGACACATTTATATGCATGGAGAGAGAACAAAAGAAGATTATAAAAAATACAAAATATTCATCAAAATGACAGAAAATCATAGTAATGAATATAGAAACCTTCATGATTAATGCTTATACATCAAGTTGAAATCTTCATGTCCCAGCAACAAAGTTGAGATGGTTGCGAGGCTTGAAAGAAGTGTAGGCAACTCTCAAGTCCCATCCCCACAACAAGACCTAAGAATCTATTCCATCTGTGAATCCTTCACACAACAATCATAATGAGAAAATATAACTTTGCACTTTGAATCTAAGTTCACATAATTGTCCAAAAAAACTAAGATTGGGTATTAGGGTAGCAGCTATGTGTAATGATAAAAGTGAGAGAAGAGAGAATAACAATGTGGAGCCATTTGCAGCGTGACTTAAAGGAGCAAGAGGGGTAGGTACTACTGTGATGAAAATTTTAGGATCAGTATACATATGATCATTGCATGAGGATAAAAAAAACCAAGTACAAGTACTAGAGAAAATACACATTACAAAAGAGAAAAATTTCTCATATATAAGTTCAGTTATGGTAGTGTCTAAGGCTTCGTTTGGGACGGCTTTTTTATTGCATTCTAAAACGGAGTTTTAGTACAAAATTATAAAATTTTGTACTAAAACTCCGTTTTAGAAGGCAATAAAAAAGCCATCCCAAACAAAGCCTAAGATGGCTTGAGGATTGTGATTGAGCAAAGATGCTCGAACTAGCTCATAGAGAGAACCTTCAAAGAGTTGAATGAAACAATCCTATTCATAGTGCTGAAGGTTAGGCTGAATATCATCTCTAGGGGAAAAAAATAAAAATAAAAACTAGAACAATATGGGTCTGAATAGGTTGAATTAGTCTAAATAGTGATGATGGTTTGTCAAAAGGTCAGTCGAAGTTTGTAAAGAATACAACAAAATTGATACCGATGTGACGGACTAGCAATTGAGAATTGAGTGATAAGAAAATCCTAAATGGACTTGGCCATATCATAGCTACCAATTTAAGTGCAAATGGTAAGAGTATGTGCTATAAATCAATGTACTAATTTATTAATTATTTGCAACCCAATCCATCTTATGTTTGAGAAAGGTCCCATCATATTCATCCAAAGGTTGGTGAACACGCGTTCTTAACAAGTGATATTCCAAATCACAACAACCTTTGAGAAAACATAACATTTTCTGACACCAAAGAATATAATTGGCTTCTTTTAGAGTGGTAAAGATAAGATTGGGTGGGCTAGATTTCTCCATAGATGAAGATGATAGACAGACGGTTGATTGATGAAGGACAAAGTGCATAAGGAAATTCATAGAATCGGAGAGTGCAACAAGTTTTGAAGATTTTCGAAAGATAATTGAATAAAGATTATGATAAAGGAGGACCAACCACAATAGGAGGGTAGTAGAGGCATGATTGTTGCAGGATGTGCTTGAGTATAAAGATGAGACAGTGGTCGACACTAGGCATACCTCCTGCACGATTCACTAAACCAAGGAATTCATAGAATTGAGTGCATTGGTTGCCTCATTAAGGAACATAGAGCAATGTTCAAATAAATACTAATTTGTGAATAGAGAAAAGTCAACGATATAGCATTGCCAAAAAGAGAGGAGGTTAAGCACGCCAAGCGGTCGAGCTATAAAATCTCTCGGCAAAGCGTAAATGGTCAGCTACCAGAGAAGGAGAATAAGTTTGATTAGACAGCAAAGAGTGTTATAATTAAGAGGGACCACAGGTCCACAACAAGGCAAGAAACTACAAAGGTACCTTAGAGATACAATATAGCCAATGGCTCCAATTCAATGAAGGACAAGAACTAAACAGGAGAGAAATTGATCTTTTTTTCTCTTGATCGCTATACAAGTCCTATTTAGAGGAATGAGAAAAAAAAAAAAAATATATATATATATATTTAGAATAATGAGTAGATGCTATTCAATAATTTGCACATGTGGAGAAATATGATAATAATCACAATGAATCCATACTATTCATGGATTTGCACATATGGTAATATACTAATAATAAATGGAAAATTGGATCAGTTAATCAATCTAGACATAGGATGTTCTCATGTGCAGCTCACCTTGATCTATTGGTTGGGAGCTTTGGCTACCAACCAAAAGGCTTAGGTTCGAAGCTTGTGTATATAATGTGTTTGTGGATTTGACTTAATTGACCTAAATGTCCAACAACAACAACAACAACAACATCAAGCCTCGAAGCTTGTGTATGTAATGTGTTTGTGGATTTGACTTAATTGACCTAAATGTCCCCGAAAAAAAATTCTCATGATGAAGTAAAATCATTAGGAGGTGTGAGAAAAATAGCATTGAATTCAATGCAATATTGACAATATAATTAAGATCTTTGATAGAAAAGAATATCACAACCAACCAATAGCCATTCAAGTAAAACAACAGATCACAAACTACCCTATATGGAGATGTTGAATAATTATGTGTACTCATATTTACCTAAAAAGGTCCTACAAGCACAACTCAGAATAAGAAGTTCAAAAAAAACCATAACGGTCACAAAATAACTAAAGTATATGAAAAAGCTAATTAATTCAGGAAGCAGACATTTAATAGCCTACAAATCATCTATATGATGCACCGACACTTCTCCTCAAAGAGGCATGCAGTGTCCGACACCGTATCCGACACGACACTCGCCCGACACTCCTCCGACACGTGTCGGACATGCCGAAAACGTATCCGATTAAAAAAATATTAAATACAAATTGGGCACGCGTGTCCGACACGCGTATCTTAAATATTTTATTAATTTTTTTGAATATAATTTCTTGTACTTGGGGCGAGATTTAAACTAAATTTATTATTTCATATCCACAACACTAAATCAACGTCAGCACTTAATACCCAATCATTGAATATTCTCATTTTCATTTCTTTTTGGCAGTGAAGATATTTTCATCTCCTCTCTCGGTGACTGATAAACGGCATCGACGCCTGACTCTCGACATCCTAATATTAATCATTTTAAACACAAATTCTAGTTAAATGACTTATTATTTTTAAAATTATAGTTATTTAATTTTATACACTATTTTTTAAATATAAATACTATAATACCGTCTCCAACCCGTGTCCGTGTTCTATATTTTCAATAACTAACGTGTCCCATGTCCGCATCGTGTCGTATCCGTGTCGCCGTGTCCGTGTCTGTGCATCATAGAATTCATCAATGAATGACCAACCACCAAAAGACATATGAATAGATTCAAACATTGAAAAGTTGGATGATGGGGATATCAGATCATGGAAAGTATATCAGAGACATGACCGACGATCTACATCCTCAGTCCCACCGATCTATTTTTGAGTCTTCTTATATATTTGTTTTATTTATTTGCTTTACGTATTTGTTTTAGTTGCATTTCCCTTTTTACCCTTAAGGGATTGTCATGTGTAAGCCCTAAGGGCTATGTCATATTTTATTTCTCTGTTATTGTATGAGGCTATATATAGCCCCCTTATGTTTCTTTTGAGATTAATGAATGAATTATAATCAAATTTATGTATATTGAGTTCTTGTAAGAGCTTGAGAGTCTTTGGAGAGAAATACTTAGGACAGAGAATCGAATCACCCATCAATCTTGGGAGCGCCTGCGTGGTTCTTTTCTTCCTTATCTTTTTATTCTCTTCTTCCCTCTTATTCTAGCCATCGGTCACACTAAGCCCTCCACCACCAAGCCATCACACCCCTCACCCCACCACCCCCACACCGCCGGCCAATACCAACCCTCCCATTCTCCCCTATAGCCACCAGCCTAGCACCACCACCCAACCAACCAACCTCCTCCCAACCTTAGAAGCCGGCCCCTTTACTCTAAACGCTAACCTAGCAGCGGCCCTAGCCCTTCCCCTTGCCTCCAAATTTCAAAATCTCCCATTAATACTTTTCATATTTCACCCAACCTCAATTAGAAAGCTTAGATCCCAATTATTCAAATCAATTTTGAATTTTAAAACTTTCCAAGCATAGGAATCTATTTTAAGAAAGTTTTCAAATTCAGCCCTTTTGAATTTAAAACTAGATTGGAATTAATTAGGTCCTTCCTAATTTAATATTCCAAATAAAGAAGGCTTGATTTATTTCCCCATGCTCCTCCCACTCTCTCTCTATGCCGCCGGCCCCCTTATGTCCCCACCCATTGAATACTTTCCAAACTTCAAGCCCCTCTATTGGAAATAATTCAAAGCCTCTCCCTCTCACTTACCCGCCCCTCCCTCTCACCTATTTCTCTTTTATTTCTTTCCAAACTTAAGGATTACATAGGGAAACAAGTTCCCAAATTTCCCTCCATCCCTTCTCCCCAAAATCTGAACCAATTTCTTCCCCAAACCCCTCCCTTTGGTCGGCCACCTCTCACCCTTTCTTCCACTTGGATTCTTGAGAGAAACTTCTTTCTCTCAAAAGGAATCCTTAAGGAGATCCAAGGATGTCGTCTACAACACTTCAACACTACGAAATCGATGCATGGCTGATCCGGA